CACCAAATTCCTATTAGAAAATATATATCAATCAACCTATATCGGTAAACTAATCTGACTATTCTTAAAGTAAATTCAGTATAGCGAATGCACTAACTGACCGCCGCATACAAGATATTTTATGTTTCACATATGCGGCTAAACTCACGGTCACTCCAGCTGTGAGACAGTGGCTCATTATGCTAGTCTGCCCAGCCAGGCTGACACAAAGGGTCACTCTCTCTGAGAACCAGTGATTAGTGAGGTAACTTCACGTCACAGGGCCGGCATACATGGTCAGTCCGACAGTGATGTAAGGGTCAGTTAGGCAATACAACAACCTACTTGAATAAATCCGTAAATAATGACACAACCACCCATTGTTACAGCCGATCAACCGCTGACACCTGGGATGTTGTGATCTTTAGTTATGTAACGTAATGAAGGCCTGAGTTGTATATATACGGCGGTCGGTGGTAGCAAACTTCACTCTGCTTCCACCAATAAACGCCAACAACTCAACAGCCTTCTCTGTCCTTCAAGGTAAGTCACTATTTACTTAACTGCTAACTTATTTTGTTGATGCTCCCCTTCCTTCTGGAGGGCCCAGCAAAACATTGGCACCAAGGACTCTCAGGTCAAAACAGGTCTGACCTGAGAGAAGTTAAACAGGCATTTCTTCAGCGGTTTAGCCAATCAGGACATTTTGATTTGGCTGTTTTGTCCATTAACCAGAGACCAACAGAGAGCGTGGAGAACTACCTCAGCAGAGTTCAAGAGGCTACGCTCCATAAAGACATTCCGGTACACCTTACTGTAGCCATAACAGTTAATGGACTTCTCCCATCATTGAAGCAGTTGGTGTACAACAAGGAACCAAAATCTATGGAGGAAGTGCGCCACCATGCCCAACTTGCTGAGAAATCAAACCAAAGCACTATGGCATCACAAGTCAACCTGATTGATCAAGTTGACAAGCTGTCTGGCCTGGTGAAGTCTCTCTTGGAGGTCAGACATGAGCAGACAGTAGCTGCTGCGGCACCTGCCCCTAGGCCAGCCCCACGTAAGAGATACAGGCAGCAGGAACAGACCCCATATCAACCAAGTCACTATGAAAAATACCAGCCACCACCCTTTCCTTACCAGACTTCTCATCAACAGAGCCAGTTTTACCCTAGCCCACCCCAACAAGTCCAAACAGCCCCTCCTAGCCAACCAAATTTTCCCAACCATCCACCCCAATCTTATCAACCAAATTTCCCCAACCATCCACCCCATTCTTACCAACCAAATTTGCAGGCAGGTTACCACAACAAACCTCAGCGCCAGTCGAATTTTCAAAACCCACAGTCAGACAGATCTCAACGTAGATGTAGAGGCTGTGGAGGATCATGTCAGGATCGTACCCGCTGTCCTCATTATAGCACATTTTGTGACTTCTGTAGCAGATATGGCCACCCCCGTTCCCTTTGTATGACTGCTCTTTTTGCAAATAGGAACCAGCAATAGGAACTCGGGCCTGATGTTCAGAGTTCCTCTGAAGTCAGGCAGTTCAAGAAAAGGTCTTCATTTGACTCAAAAACCCAAAAGTCCCCAGCATCGATTAGTTCTACCAAGTCTGTTCCCATTACTTCACATCCAAAACAAGCATCAACTAGAACTAGTCAACCTATTCCCAAGACTACAGAGTCAGAACAAGCCTCTATAGTTACCTCCCTTACCAAAAATACTATCCAAATCAAAGTGAAACAAGTTAAGACTACTGCTTTGGTAGACACAGGTGCTACAATCAGCTGTATACACATGAAATTCCTACATAAAATAGGAATTTCAGAACCTGATTTACAACAATCCCATTTGACAGAGATTTTAGGTGTAGGTGGTGAACGTCATCCAGTCCTTGGGTCAACAACTCTTGACATCAATATAGGTCATGTTAAGTATACCCAAACATTTCATGTCTTTTCTTCCTTGCATCATACTGTCATCCTTGGTATGGATTTCCTGCAGACTAACAGGGTTACCATTGATTTGTCATCACGAACAGTCAATCTACATGATGGCCTTATATCAGTTTCTCTGTTAGCAACCAATGCAGGGCTTGCTAGACCCCTGAAGACCGTCTATATCCAACCCCACTCCCAAGCAGATATTCCTGTCCACATTTCACGATGTCCCCCAGGTAAACTCCTTCTTCTAGAACCTTATCCAGGCTTACAGCAACTTAAACTACAAGGAGCCAAATGCCTTATCAATAACGTCAGTGGTAAAACCTGCATGAGATTCCTGAACCCGAACAGCCATTCAGTCAAACTAAGTTGTCGCAAAGTTGTTGCCTCTGCTTCTGCTATTGACCCTTCTTTCATATATACCCTTTCATCAGGGTCTCAATCTTCTCCTTCTGTCAATGCTCTCACATCGGATTCAGAAACCTCTGAGTCACCAGACCAACTATCCTTTGACCTCAGTGACTCTGACCTCACTGATGACCAGAAACAACAACTTGAATGCTTTCTTTTATCACAGCAGTCAGTCTTTGCACAAGATTGGTCTCAGTTAGGTAGAACACATTTTCATGAACACAAGATTGAAACAGGAGATGCTATGCCAATTAGACAACGGTTCTACCGTCAGTCGCCAGCAGTCCGGCAAGAATGTTCAAAGCAGATTCAGCAGATGCTGAAGGCCAATATCATTGAACCAAGTTCCTCAGAATGGTATTCCCCAGTCGTCATGGTTAAAAAGGCTGACAACAGCTACCGCTTTGCAGTCGACTATAGGAAATTGAATGCGGTTACGAAGCCCATTTTTTTCCCTCTACCCCGTTTTGATGATGTGGTCGATGCCATTGGCGAAAAACATGCCAAACTATTTTCTGTGCTGGACTGTGCCAGTGGCTTTTGGCAAATACCACTGCATCCAGAAACTAAGGACAAATCTGCCTTCATTACTCAAGACGGCATCTTTGAATTCAACCGTCTACCCTTTGGTCTTAAAAATGCCCCTGCAGCCTTTCAGCAAACCATATCTAGAGCTCTGCAAGCCATGAACTGGAGATACATATTAATTTATGTTGATGATATAATAATCTACAGCAGGAACTTTCAGGAACATTTACAACATCTAAAATGTGTCTTTTCAAAATTGAAAGAAGCAGGCCTAACCTTAAAACCAAGCAAGTGTAGATTTGCCGCGAAAAAAGTTACTTATCTTGGCCATGTGTTCAGTAAAGATGGTATAGAAGTAGACCAATCCAAAATTGAGGTTGTAAACAGCATTCCTCAGCCTAAAAATGTACATGACATTCGGCACTTTTTGGGTCTCGCTTGCTATTACCGGAAATTTGTACCAAAATTTTCCAAAATTGCCGCCCCTTTATATAATCTCCTCCAAAAGGATACACCTTTCTTGTGGTCTGAGGAATGCCAACTAGCCTTTGTACAACTGAAACAAGCATTAACATCAACTCCTATCTTAGCATATCCAGATCCAGAGCAACCTTATATTCTTACAACAGATGCCTCAACAACAGCTCTAGGGTACATTCTTGGCCAACGAGATGCATCCGGTAATGAGAATGTTATTTGCTATGGAGGCCGGGCCCTGCATGCTTCTGAAAAGAAGTGGGGTATCACTCAACTAGAGTGCCTGGCAGTCCTAGAAGGCATCAAAACTTTCGTGTGTATCTGGCATCAAGGAAATTCAAAGTCTTTACAGATCACCATGCACTGAAATGGCTGAAAGAAATTAAAGCCGAAACAGGTCGCCTTGCCAGATGGTCGATCATGCTCCAGGAGTATGACTTCGTGATAGAACATCGAGCAGGTAAAACAAACACCAATGCCGATGCACTATCAAGAATTCCTTACCCTAAACAAACATCAGCACCGGTAACAGATGAATTTCCATCTCCTCCAGTAACTGTCAGTGTACCTTCTCCTTTGCCAACATCTAGCTCTAAACAACTGTCTTATGCTGAAGTTGTCATGTCTGATATACCTTCAGCTAATCGTTCAGTGACTAACACCTCTATCCCAAAGTCTTCTTCATCTCAGCTTGAAGACGAACAGTGCCAATCCAACATTCCAGAGTCACAGCATATTTCTGTTAACTTTGTGTATCACAAAGAGCCCCCGCAAACAGGTCCATTCGTGCAATCTGTTGATACAGACATTCATGACAATGACCTTGCTGAGAGGCAAAGAAAGTCAAGTGACCTATGCCTAATCATTGATTACCTTGAAAAAGGTGAGATTCCAGCCAATTACACGGCATCTCAAATCAATGGTCTACAAGGTCGTGCCCAAGAGTATGAACTTCTTGATGGCATACTGTACCATTTCTTTCTACCAAAACATAGAGGACAAAAAGGCAACCGACCACCCACAGTCACCCAACTAGCAGTACCCAAGGCAGACAGAAAGAATCTGTTGTATGCATACCACGACTCCAATGCAGGTGGATGCCACTTTGGGCGTGACTCAACACGTCAAGCCATCATGACAAAATATTATTGGCCTGGGATGTACCAAGAAATAGAAGACTATATCAAGTCCTGTGAAGCTTGTCAAAAGTCGAAACGCTTTGCACATTCCAAACCAGCACCAATGGTACCAATGCCAATTGAAGACAACTTCTCCAGACTCCATGTAGACATCCTTGGACCCCTTCCAACAACCAAAGAAGGTTACAAGTATATCATTGTGGCCATTGATTCATTTTCACGATGGATTGAGGCGTTTCCAATGAAAAGCCAGGATGCTGTGGAAGTCGCAAAAGTTCTCTTCAATGAGGTCTTTACAAGGTATGGTGCACCACGAACATTGCTCACGGATAGAGGACGCCAATTTACCTCAAAATTGGTCAATGCAATCTGTGAGATCTTCGAGGTCCGACACCATTACACAAGCTCCTATCATCCACAGACGAATGGAATGGTCGAAAGAAGAAATAGCACAATTGCTCAGGTTCTGAAAGCATACTGCAAACCTGACCAATCAAACTGGGCGGACATTCTCCCATGTGTACTTATGGCCATGAGAAACACACCATGTCAGTCCACCAGTTACTCTCCTCACTATCTCCTCTTTGGCAGAGAAATGCATCTGCCATTTGATATATCATTACTGCCAAAACCATCACTTGGTAAAGATGCAGAATCCCACCTGAGGCATCTCCTTGAGAACCTCAAAGTTGCAAAAGCAATTGCCCGTGAAAACATGGAAACAAGTCAAGAAATTAACAAGGCGTATCAACATCCTAAATCACAAGAGCCAAACTTTTCTCTTGGCCAGCAAGTGTTCTTACACAATCCTGCTGTGACAAAAGGTCTGTCGCCTAAACTTACCCAACCGTGGAAAGGTCCATACTACATCTCAGCCATTGGACCTAATCACACCTTCAAACTTCATAGATGTTCTGATAACATGGAACATAAATCAATGGTACATGCTAATCGGCTTAAACCAGTCATTTTGAGACTAAATGACGGGCCACAGCAACCACTATCGGACGCCCTAAGTCGGGCGGACTTATCAAATGCCTCAAACCAGTCAGGCACCAACCTCAACGAACCATCAACCACTGAGCCGGGCCGTGCACTCCCTACATCGGACGATACAGCACTGGACCCCACAGGCTCTGATATCAGCAGGTCAGCCTCAACACAGGGACCTCAACCAGCCAGTCAATCATTGCGAGATCAAGTGATCTCACGGCCAACAAATCATACACTGCAGTCATCACAACAAAACCTGTCATCTTCACAAACACACACACCATCTCATCGTCCTGTGCCAAGCACATCCTCACCCTCATCCTCATCACAACAGACACCGAGCCAGATATACCCTGTCCAGAAGGTTATTCGGTGCAAACAGGTGGATGGTAAACGCCACTATTTAATCAAATGGCGCAACTACCCATCACCAACCTGGGAACCGGAGGAAAACCTTGGGCAAGGTTTGAAACAGGATTTTCATATCCGAAAAAACCAGTCAGGCAAAAAGCGTAAACGTAGGTCTAAGCATCTTTTTTTTCAATAAGAGTTTAATTCCATTGTCCCGTTACCATGTGTGTGAGAGCAATGCCAGTGAGGGTTGAGATGTCGGGTTGGCCAAGGTTATTTAATGATCCTGATCAAATCATTTCTTCACCTTTCATACCCTGATTTTTACACTACATTATTGTCATTTCTCTCATAGGTATGCAACTGGGGCAACTCTTTGTAGGGCTTCTGCTCTACATCACAGCAGTTTCTTCAACGAAGCCAATCCAGCGACTGAATTATGGAGTTGTTTTTCAGCCCCATCTTCCAGTACACTTTTCCACGGAAAACTGGTTACATACTTACCAGATTAACATTCCCCGGAAACCAACACTTCCACAGATGCAGGGATGTCATACTGGGAATGCAACCTGTGCACTGATCCGACAAATTCAGACACACCTAAATACTGTCAAGACCATATGTGCGGCAAGACTTGAAGCAACAAAGAAGTTGGTGTATAGTATCATACCAAACTCCAAACAGCATGTAAGGTCTCGGTCAAAACGGGCACTTTTTAATTTTGTGGGTAGCTTTTCTAAGACTCTTTTTGGAACAGCTACCACCAATGATGTAAATATTTTAGCTAAACATATCAATGCCCTCGTTAGCCATGAAAATTTAGTCTCAAATAACCTCCAACAACATGCCAAACATTTATCATCTTATATGTCCTTAGTTGACTCACGCTTTCATAATGCCATGAAAGCAATCAAAACCAATCATGAGGCAATTCACTTTGCAACAATAACGCTGAACAGAGATGTCAATTCTTTAAAGTCCTCGTTTGTTGCCCTATCGGCATTACTGATGGATCAGGTAGAGCAGGCATCTGCCGTTGACCACCAACTAGAGGAACTAAAATTAGGCATCCTAAGTTTGGTCAATAATAGACTGTCTCCTCTCCTGATCTCAGAAGAAACTCTCCATCAGACTATCCTTCACCTTACCAAACTACTTTCTAGCAGTCGACCCAACTTTGTACTTCTGCAGAGAGATCCCTCCTTCTACTTCTCACAAGGTCAGTTTATATATACTCGGGCTGGTGATCGTCTTTATGTGTCTATCAAATTCCCAATTTCCTCTTTTGGCAAACCATTACACCTTTATAAAATGATTTCTCTTCCTGTACCTGTCAATGAGACATCTCTCCATTCTACTCAGCTCATATCTATCCCCTCATACTTTGCTGTCAGTGAAGATAATCAGCACTATGTTACTCTCTCAGACACCCAAGTGTCTACCTGTATCGGGCGTAGTATTCTTCACTGCCCATACAGGATATCGCTAACGCCTGTTACTGTTCCTTCTTGTGAGCTCGCGCTTTTTCAAAACAGAGCGCAAGTAAAGCAACTGTGTGACTTTCGTTACGTAACCAAAACTCACCCTCCTACTCTACTTGAAATTGACCACTCTACAGTGTTAATCTATCGTATCCCTACCCTATCCCTAACCTGTCCTTCCGTACAACGTATGATTCCAGGGTGTTCCTTCTGCCTCCTGAAGTCTCCGTGCTCCTGTGCTTTGTCAACTGAATCTATCTTCTTCCCCGCATCCTTCAGCTCTTGCACAAACAGCACAACACACTTGACTCGTTTACACCCTGTCAATCTTGCCCTTCTTCAACATTTCTTTGATGACTCTACCCTTTCCGCTATTGCCGGAGATACTACCTTCAAAAGGGCTATCTCAATCACCAATATTCCTCAATTTCACCTCTACTCTCACAACTTTTCTCACTTTTTGGCACGAGATAACCAAGACCATCTCAGTCTTAAAAGAATGGTTGCCAGTGCCAAGAAAGATGAAACGGTCTTCCAAAATCTAGCTGAACCTTTATTAGATGGTGAAATTAATATTCCAAATTCGTGGCCTGACACTAATGCCTTTATTGTTATAGCCAGTACCATCATGTCGTCCTTTTCGGTAATATTAGTTATTTGGCTTTTCCTAAAATTACGTTCTTTAACAACTGCTCTTGCTCTCCTGACCAATGCCAGACCTATTCATTCTTTACAACCACCATCTTTTGACTACAAACAGCACATGCCTACCACATCAAAACCCGACACCCTTTTTCTACCTGATCTAACAGAGTATCACGTTTCTATACTATTAGGAGTTCTATCCATTCTACTTTGTCTTATCATTTTCACTCTTATATTCAAACAGAAGAAATCCAATCAAAATTGCCTTGTCTTAGAAATCACCACCGGCCCGGACTGTATTACCATTCCTATTATTGCTCTTTCGCTATGTCCATCTTACTGGACCATCAACCCCCCTACTTATATTCACAATCTCAGAGTCACTGATTACTTCTTTCCTAGTCTTTCTCTGGAATGGCCCAACTTCTGCATCAAAAACAACCTTACGGACACCTTCCTTTATCTACCAAATGAAATTCGTTTAAATATTTTTACTGCCAAGAAACTGCGAAAAATGCTTAACCAACCTGTCAACACCTATATCCTGTTAATTCATGGAGGATATATTAAGGCTTTGGATGATGATACGATAAAACCAAATAAGGCGCTGTACCCAAATCTTACCATAACGTAGTATTACTTCCTACCACCCCAATGTCAACGTTGTCTTGAATAATTATTATCTGTATATCTATTCTTACCAATTGTGTCCATACTTTACCATATCTATTAAGACGTATCCTTGCCAATGTCCATTGTCACTTCTAAGGACACAGACGTATCCTAACATTCGTTTTGATGAACATAAGTGTAATGTCATCTATTGTTTTTGCATTGTATTACCATGTCTGTAGCACTTCTATTGTTTTTTGCATTGTATTACCATGTCTGTATCACTGTTTATTCTTATGTAATTATGTCAATTCGATTTTTTTGCTTTTAAGGACAAAAGCTTCCTGTCGCAGAGGGGTATTGTCATAGCTTTCTTCTAACACCAAATTCCTATTAGAAAATATATATCAATCAACCTATATCGGTAAACTAATCTGACTATTCTTAAAGTAAATTCAGTATAGCGAATGCACTAACTGACCGCCGCATACAAGATATTTTATGTTTCACATATGCGGCTAAACTCACGGTCACTCCAGCTGTGAGACAGTGGCTCATTATGCTAGTCTGCCCAGCCAGGCTGACACAAAGGGTCACTCTCTCTGAGAACCAGTGATTAGTGAGGTAACTTCACGTCACAGGGCCGGCATACATGGTCAGTCCGACAGTGATGTAAGGGTCAGTTAGGCAATACAACAACCTACTTGAATAAATCCGTAAATAATGACACAACCACCCATTGTTACAGCCGATCAACCGCTGACACCTGGGATGTTGTGATCTTTAGTTATGTAACGTAATGAAGGCCTGAGTTGTATATATACGGCGGTCGGTGGTAGCAAACTTCACTCTGCTTCCACCAATAAACGCCAACAACTCAACAGCCTTCTCTGTCCTTCAAGGTAAGTCACTATTTACTTAACTGCTAACTTATTTTGTCAGCTACGATCTTAATACGTTAGGTATAGGTTAGATCTATTTCGACTATATCGTAGCGTTGTAAAAATTATCATTGACTAAATATCCAGACAATACTTCCTCTCGCGAACATATATTAGTATATTAGTATATAAGTATACTAGTTGCACGGCAACATCCCAATATGAGTATGTGTACCAATGTCAATAACTTGTACGTTCCTACATTCAGTGACACATACTCATAGCAATGATTTGCCTGCAACTTAGTAACATTGAAAACTGAGTCGGCCAACATGTAATTATATTGTCTCTTATAACAGAATATCCACGCGTGACTGTTTTTCTACTGTTTTCTACCAGACACATTTTCGCGTAATTAATGCCTTTTAATAACCATCCGTTAAACAAATATATTGTACATCTTTACAGTCATGTTATTACCGGTTGTATGCCGATTGTATTATTATGATCGTACGTGTTGTACACGTATTGAATTGTTATAATTACATGTATACAATTAGATGAATGTGACTCAACCTCTTATATATATTATCGTGCCATTACAATTAAAAGTACTTCTGTGTAAACTTCACTCTGCTTCCACCAATAAACGCCAACAACTCAACAGCCTTCTCTGTCCTTCAAGGTGATAGCCAGTCGTGACCGCTGCTACCGACTAATTCCCCCAATTAAGTAGTACACCCAAAAGACAAGCTGCGTCACCCCTAAAGACGCACTACGTCACAACAACTAGGTCAGCGAGCCTGACCACCCGAGCCCGTTAGTCGCCCCTTACAACAAGCATGGGTTGCTGAAGATCTGTTCTAATCCGGATCTTCACGTACAGGACGTATGTACATGTACTGTAAACATAATCTAACTTATTTCTCATATCTCCATCACAACAATTATTCACATCATTTCTTGTCGTTTGGCCTTAAACAGTTATCGTTAACTTTGCATACGATGACATGCATTACCCGTTAGTCGCCTCTCACAACAAGCATAGGTTGCTAAAGACAAAGTCCAACACCGATCTTCTTGGGTCAACTCTGAACAGTCAGTTAATGAATTAATAGACAGGGTTTTCAGGAGAATCGATCAACCAAATTAAATAAGGCAGGGTGATCCTGGGTAAACAAGAAAGGTGGTACTAGGAACGGATAGAACATGGGTAAACAAGAAAGGTCGTACTGGGGGACGGATAGAACATGGGTAAACAAGAAAGGTCGTACTGGGGGACGGATAGAACATGGGTAAACAAGAAAGGTGGTACTGGGGGACGGATAGAACATGGGTAAACACGGAAGGTGGTACTGGAAACGGATAGAACATGGGTAAACAAGAAAGGTCGTACTGGGAACGGATAGAACATGGGTAAACAAGAAAGGTGGTACTGGGAACGGATAGAACATGGGTAATCAATGAACGTGGTACTGGGACCGGATAGAACATGAGTAAACAAGAAAGGTGGTACTGGGAGACAGATAGAACATGGGTAAACAAGAAAGGTGGTACTGGGAACGGATAGAACATGGGTAAAACAAGGAAGGTGGTACTGGGGGAACAGATAGAACATGGGTAAACAAGAAAGGTGGTACTGGGGGAACAGATAGAACATGGGTAAACAAGAAAGGTCGTACTGGGAACGGATAGAACATTGGTAAACAAGGAAGGTGGTACTGGAAACGGATAGAACATGGATAAACAAGGAAGGTGGTACTGGAAACGGATAGAACATGAGTTAACAAGGAAGTTGGTACTGGAAACGGATAGAACATGGGTAAACAAGGAAGGTGGTACTGGGAACGGATAGAACATGGATAAACAAGGAAGGTGGTACTGGGAACGGATAGAACATGGGTAAACAAGGAAGGCGGTACTGGGGGACAGATAGAACATAGGTAAACAAGGAAGGTGGTACTGGGAACGGATAGAACATGGGAAACAAGGAAGGTGGTACTGGGAACGGATAGAACATGGGTAAACAAGAAAGGTGGTACTGGGACCGGATAGAACATGAGTAAACAAGAAAGGTGGTACTGGTGGACAGATAGAACATAGTTAAACAAGGAAGGTGGTACTGGGGACGGATAGAACATGGGTAAACAAGGAAGGTGGTACTGAGGGACAGATAGAACATAGGTAAACAAGGAAGGTGGTACTGGGAACGGATAGAACATGGGGAAACAAGAAAGGTGGTACTGTTAACGGATAGAACATGGGTAAACAAGGAAGGTGGTACTGGGAACGGATAGGACATGGGTAAACAAGGAAGGTGGTACTGAGGGACAGATAGAACATAGGTAAACAAGGAAGGTGGTACTGTTAACGGATAGAACATGGGTAAACAAGGAAGGTGGTACTGGGAACGGATAGAACATGGGTAAACAAGGAAGGTGGTACTGGGGACCGGATAGAAGATGAGTAAACAATGAAAGTGGTACTGTTAACGGAAAGAACATGGGTAAACAAGGAAGGTGGTACTGGGAACGAATAGAACATTGGTAAACAAGGAAGGTGGTACTGGGACCGGATAGAAGATGAGTAAACAAGGAAGGTGGTACTTGAAACCGATAGAACATGGGTAAACAAGGAAGGTGGTACTGGGGACGGATAGAAGATGGGTAAACAGGAGTGGGTGGTACTGGGAACGGATAGAAGATCGGTAAACAAGAAAGGTCGTACTTGGGGACGGATAGAACATGGGTAAACAAGGAAGGTGGTACTGGGGACGGATAGATCATAGGTAAACAAGGAAGGTGGTACTTGAAACGGATAGAACATGGGTAAACAAGGAAGGTGGTACTGGGAACGGATAGAAGATGGGTAAACAGGAGTAGGTGGTACTGGGAACGGATAGAAGATCGTCTGTGGTCCAGACTCGATTATTTAAATACCGCCGTCATATAGCTGGAGTTTTGCTAAGTGCAGCGTTAAACAACAAACAAACACACAATCATGTCCATGCAAATCTGTCTCAAAACAGTTTGCTTCTTGTCACTGTCAGTTTTTCATTATTTGAGTGAGAGTTATTATCATTTCAGTAATATTAATATCACGGCGTCTTGGTCAAGGCGTGACGTGGGTCATAGACACATATCGTTTAAGTGAAACCCACGAGTATGGGTATTCTCGGATAAACAATGGATCATATTCAGGGGTTTTCTGAGATTCGTCATGATCAACGTCTTGGTGCAAATCTAAGGGACGTAACTCTGCTTAGTGTAACGCGACACCTGTGACATTTGAAAGAACACGGTCGGTCGTGTGTACTCTCTTCATTCATATGTGTTGATTTTGTTGACATTGAAGTTTGAAAAGTCATCAGTGGAGCAGGTATGTGCTTATTCGTTGCCTAATGATATAACTCGGCTTTAGGATCACTACAATGGACGGTGTGTCAGCCATCAGAGTTAGTACAGTTTATAGTGACCTATATTCACATATATCTGTGTGTGATAGCTGTCGTGTCGATTTTTTATTCCGAGCTATGGTTGTATGTCAGTAGTGTTATTTCACGAATGTTAATACTGTATACACGTTTCTCTATATTCCTATATCTAAACACGCTTGAAGTGAATCAAATTGGACATGGTGAAGACATTTACAACCTTGCTGACAAAGGTATCCAGGGTCTGTCTCAAACATTGACAACCTTGCTGACAAAGGCCTCCGGGGTCTGTCTCAAACATTGACATTATGTATTCGAGGACTTGATAAACCTTGTGTTTCACTGATGCATGAAATCACAATACTTGCACCAAGGTATGAAAACATTCGCATGTGAAAACTCTTTACATAGCATAGGAGCAATATCATCTATCATTCAATCGCCTGTCAATCTTATCAGTTAGTTGGGGACAAGTGAATATGTTATAGTTTAGATATATACGTCTGGACATGTACATGTACGAGGTATTGAAATGTGTTACGTGCTCTCAATGAATCCTCTCCCCTTGGTCAGGTTGCGTGTGTACATACGGTGTGAAGGCCACTTTAATAACTTGATGTAAGAGCGTCTGCACCTCTTGATCCGTGCAGTGTATTTCATAATTTTCAGGGGGCACGGGTGGCCCAGTCGTCGCAATTCGCTGTGCAGAGTTGCGTCCATTGGGCACGCTAGAAACCTATGATTGTGGTTTCGAATCCCGGCTAAGCCCGATTATGTTTCTAGGTTTGTCTGCACCATACCCGTGCTCGTGGGTTTCACCGAAGTGGTAAACGTCTGAGACCTGCATCACTTCGGGCTTTCCTCCCACATTAAGCTGACACGCCGTGATATAACTGGAATACTGTGAAAAGGCGTTAAACCTAACTCACTCACTATTTCGTAAATTTCAAAAAGGAGATAGCGTGAGTTTGCCTCTCCGATCGCGTTTATATTTTCTTGACATAAAAGATGAATATCTCTACAGTCAAATATTCATATACACGACCAAGGAATTTTTTTATATGTAAGGGACGCAACTCCGAGAAGAAACTCGCAGTGCTTTTATGATAAATTGTACAAGTTGTTTACAAATGAGTGGTTATTTCAACTCCGATAGGGCCTAACACTCGGATTCTTCAATAGGTATGTATGTGATTGAAACCGATAAACGAGGATTGAAAGACTTGTTAAATTGGTATTAGTTGATCATCATCACAATGGTATTCAAACACGCATGTTGGTATGAGATGCAAGGCACAAGCCTCGGCCATCTTCACCTACATTTACATGTGATATATAGATTGTAAGTGTTGGCATGGTTGTGCCTTTCTTAAACCATGTACTTGAATATGAGGGGCAATACAATAAATGCAGGGTTATTACACCACGAGTCATTGAACGTATACAAATACCTTCTTCAACATGTTACGCCATGTTGGATGTGTGTTTGTGTTTGAAAGAAATGGCATATCTGTGTTGTTTTTTTAAGACACAACCATGGGGCCGTCTCAAAATCTCAGATATTATATAACCTTTTTGAGAAATAAAAAACATCATTTAAGTGTTTCGGAGAAAAAGTCCTTGGTAAGCTGTCAATCATCCTTAGTATCATTCATCTGTACCAAACAAAAACATACTGTTAATCTCTGATGATACAGTGGCCACACACTGACGTAGACTTTGATCTGCAGCCAGCTTATCAAGCTTATTTATAGACAAGTGTATATGTGCACTGACTACACTCCGGGCGGGACGTTGCCTTGTCCAGGCCCTTCACGTTTGCTAAGATACAGTTACACGTGCGTGTGGTCGAGTCTGTTAGCGTGTGCGTATGGTCGTGAACGTGGTCGTAGACGTAGACGTAGACGTGGTCGTGGTCATGGTCGTGCACGTTGTCGTGGACGTAGTCGTTGTCGTGGTCGTGGTCGTGGTCGTGGTCGTGGACGTAGTCGTAGTCGTGGACGTGGTCGTTGTCGGGGATGTTGTCGTGGACGTGGTCGTGGTCGTGGTAATGGACAAGGTCGTGGACGTGGTCGTTGTCGGGGATGCTGTCGTGGACGTGGTCGTGGTCGTGTATTTGTGTTCTCTATGTTCTTTTCTTCATTTTGACAAGTGCATATATCCACTGACTTGAAAGATCTCTAGGCTCAAGCCGATCAGGGAGGACTCCCTTATTTTACATAGTTTTTGACCAGTGCGCACACCAGCATTGTTGTCGATCAGTCTTCGCAGTCTGATGCTCTTTGCTCGTCATGGTATGGGAACGTTGTTATCAAACAGTGATCGGGAGTGCGTTAGGTGATTTCACGACCGAGGACGCCACGAGTCAACTTCAGACACTGTTCCCGTGTTGGGAATCGAACCGGGCCTAAACCTGGACGAGTTGATGCTTCAATCACTAACAAAATATAAGCTTTTTTCCAGTAGTGAGCTGTGTAGCTGAAAGTGCAGCATAAAAGGTTATGTGAAGATTAACGTCCACATCTGTACTGCATTAATCGCTAACTTAAGAGAATATAATTGGCTTTAAATAATTGCAAACTCGGCATTAAGTGGCATAATAATACGCTTTATATTAAATATTAATATATATCTTAAAATTCTCTAGCTTCTCTAACCCTCGACATGTCAATTGTGTCACTGTTCAACTTTGTTGTTGTTAACGGAACGTCATTTATGGTATTTCCATGTTTGATACACCTGTTTAAACTAGGATTATTGCCGACTTAATAATGTGCACTCATTTTCTTTCTGTACCCAATTTGAATAATTTCCACGTCGAGATATGCAGGAGAGATATCAGGTTTTGCTGCTGCTGTATCCACATCCTTTACGTCATCGTCACATCACATGCGATGTCACCAATACGGGTGTAAGGGTGGCCCAGTCGTCTAAGGCGATGCAATTACAAAAACAATTATGACCGTTTGTTCGAATCCCTATTTGTTCATATTGTGGTCCTAGGTTTGTTAGTCGACAAGCTATGATATAAATGCAACACTATTCTAAGAGGCGATACACACAACTCACTCACTATAATGAAAACAATTGCAGTTACATTTTATTTGTTTTTCTTGTGTTCAGCTGTCGATATGCTGAAGTCACGTGTCACACCGCTATCAAGTGTGATCAGAAAGCATCTACTTCCTGGGACACACAGCGCATGTCTCAAAGCAACAGCCGCCAGCCCAAGGGTTGCTGAAAGCGATGAAGTGCGACCATATAAGGATATGCCAGGGCCACGTGGCAGATACGCAATTCCACAGATCGGGCCGATATTTCACATGAAACCCTTCAGTAAGTTCCCACTTAATTAATATTAGGCCATATTGTAGATTAAAACATCATAAGTTTGTTTGTTTGTTGTTTAACGCCGTACTCAGCAATAGTCAAGCGATATGAGCGGCGGTCTGTAAATAATCGAGTCTTGACTAGACAATCCAGTGATTGACATTATGAGCATCGATCAACGATGTTGGGATACGATGACATGCATCAACCAAGTCAGCGAGTCTGACCACTCGAGCCCGTTAGTCGCCTTTTACGGCAAGCATGGGTTGCTGAAGACCCCAGATCTTCACGGCTTACTCCGAAGTAATACAAGCAGCCACACAGACACACTCACATACATATTTTTAATCAATTGTACGACAGTCTTCGGCTTGTATAGTAACTAATGCTTGTAATATTTTCAAATTGCAACCAAATAAATCTGTAACACTTGAAATACTATAGCAGTGACGTAGAGACACAGGCGTTCCTAAAATATGTGACTTGGGCTTTCCATAATACTCATACTTTTTTCAGCGAATTTCACAACGCAGTCTTTCCACAAATTACTGGACTCACTACATGACAAATATGGGCGGACCATCCGTGTAACCCTTGTTGGACCGAGTGTCGTGACAGAGGACCCAGATGCAATAGAAGCCATCTACAGAGCTGAGGGCAAGTACCCGATGAGACCCCCCCTGAACATGTTTGAGACGTATGCCGAGAGAAACAACAAGGAACCGGGCATGGCATTGGTGTATGTGCACTGTTACTACTTTTCACGTATACAGTAAATCTGAAGTTACTAAGCAAACGACCCGTGAAGATCCGGCTTGGAATAGGTCTTCGGCAACCCATGCTTGCCGTAAAAGGCGACTGTGCTTGTCGTAAGAGGCGACTAACGGGATCGGGTGGTAAGGCTCGCTGACTTGGTTGATGTGTGTCATCGATCCCAATTGCGTGGATCGGTGCTCATGATATCAATCACTGGATTGTCTGGTCCAGACTCGATTATTTACAGACCGCGGTCATATAGCTGGAATATTGTTGAGTGCGGCGTAAAACAGCAAACAAACAGGCTAAGCAAACACAAACGATGTTGCAGAACACTTTCTTCCAATGTATTTGATCTATGTTATATCAGACTCATATTTGTGAGGCATTTAGAAGTTTGAGCACTAAGTAAGGATAAGATGTATGGATGAACAACTTTTGATGTAGGTACTAACACCGTATCACTTGTTTGACAACGGTGTTAGAATCTACACCGAAACGTCGCTCCTTATTGAAACAAAGTAGTTGTTCATCCATATATATCTTATCCTTACTTATTATATGAAGATGTTGTTCATCCATATATCTTATGCTTACTTATTATAATCCGGGGTCTTCAGCAACCCACGCTTGCTGTAAAAAGCGACTCTGCTTGTCGTAAGAAGCGACTAACGGGATCGGGTGGTCAGGCTCGCTGACTTGGTTGATGCATGTCATCGATCTCAATTGCGTGGATCGGTGCTCATGATATCAACCACTGGATTGTTGGGCCCAGACTTGATTATTTACAGAGCGCCGTCATATAGCTGAAATATTGCTAGGTGCGGAGTTAAACAACAAACAAACAAACAAAACCAAAAAAACAAAAAGAACTTATTCATTATATCAATCACATTGACATGTATCCGATCCGGATGCTTCAAAACACTCAAGACAACAATCATGGAAATCAATGATTCTTTGCGTTGTTTGATGAATTGTTGGTTAGAAAAACGCATACTTTGAGACTGAATAGTACCTATAGAAAAAGCAGCGTAATCTATTCGTAATTTGTTCACACTGTTCAAACAACTGTTTTCAGATAACAATTATGTTTAAAAACTATAAACTCTAGACATTTTATGTGTACTTTATACTCTTTTATGTCACTGTACTTAAAGTGTCTCGATATTTCTGCTGGTTTACTGAAGTCTATGAGCTTCATCATAATCTCAGTAGCATTTATCAATTATGCTGAATCACCTTCAGAAGGAAACCGCCCCTGTTCCCGTGTTGCAAAACGATTGCATATCTTGACTCATTAGCAAAAGAATATCTGCACTTGAACGTGATATACATTTCAACAAAATCAATAAATGCGCTTCCAAATTGAGTAGACCGATGCTCATGACATCAATCACTGGATTGCCTGGTCCAGATTCGATTATGTACAGGCCGACGTCATATAGCTGGAATATTGCTGAGTGCGGCGTAAAACAACAAACAAACAATAAATGCGCTATCGTGTGACTGGACCTCTGGTCAATCACTTGATTGTCTGGTTTGTTTACAGGCCGCCTTCGCATGGCAGTGGTATTGCTGTAAGGCATCAGACAACAGACATATTTTTTATGCAAAACTGTGCGAGCGGCGAATGCTAATTATCACTTTTATGTTGCCTTTACGTCTAATGGAATCTGTTTCGTCGTCTAATCGAGACTGGCTATTCTCTTACTTTGACGTTTTATATACCTTCTCCACTGCTTGCATAATGGTAAAGTCTACGTAATCTCTATATCATGATCGTAGGAATGGTCCAGAATGGCATCGTCTTCGTTCGGCGTCACAGAAGTATATGTTGAAACCGTCATCAGCTTCAGTATACATTCAGGAACAAACTGACGTCGCCAATGACCTCATAACAAGGATGTCTACAATGAAATATACCCCAGAGGAGTTCAGAGCAGAGATGTTCAAATATGCTACAGAAAGTACGTTTCTCTTCTATATCAATGACGCTAGCTAGTATAATCATGTTATAGCTAGTATAATCATGTATATATACAGAACAGCTAAGTGTTTTCCTTACTATTTGTTCACCCTGTTCTATTTCTCCCTTCAAGGTATTGGAGTTGTTGCTTTCAACAAACGACTTGGTTTCATGGATCCTAAAGGAGCACCAATGTCAGCAGAAAATAAAGTTTATCTGGAGTCAATACAAACTTTCTTCCAATGCTTACTGAAAGATATCGGACCTCCTTTGTACAAGTTCATGCCCACTAAGCTCTACAGAACGTTTGAGAGGGTTGCCAACCAAGCATATGGGTAAAGCAGTTCATAATATACTTGTAATCAGAATAAAGCTACATATACAAAAGGTCAGGTAGGCACTACGTTCAGTTCAAACATGGCTTCGTCCTTGTCTAATTAATAGGATAATTGTTATAGTCTGTGACTTAAAGGGGCGCAGCTTAAGTCTTTCACAAGGCAACTTTGGAGATATAAATTGCGAAGACATTGTGGGAAAATTAGTTTCCACACCTTTGTAAACCTCTAAATTTGCCATATTACAAAGTGAAAACTGCTCGTTTGGTAATGCTTTGTGGAAGTAAAACAGACATACATGTCTTAGTTTTCAGTTGAGCAATCCCGTCTAAATATTTTTTCAGGTATGGTCGTGTACAAATAAGAGACGTTCTAGAAAGAGTGAACCGTGAGATGAAAGAAGGAACGTTTGACCCTGAAAAACCAAATCTGATTCTACAGCTACAGGCGAGTCCCAAGACGACCGACAACAGTGTGGATGCCATTTTACTAGATCTCTTAACAGGTGGAACAGATTCAGTAAGTCATTACTTGCCGAGGTTAATATATTGTAAAATGTGTACTATTATGTGTTGACATATGATGAAAACCACGGAAAGCATACACTCTTCAAAAAAAGAAACGCACAGGTAGATTTGTAGTAAATTTATTGTACCTAATAAAGTCAATTCATTTAGTTTAATATCATAGTTACAAATATGAAATTTTGAAGGTCGAGAGTCACATTTTGTCGTTATACAAAAACATTGAACACTGTTCATTGTAATGTCACATAAGACCACAGGGTTGCGCTAAACTCAGCATCCCGTGTGACCGTCCCGGGCAGCAATCACGGCTCTGCATCTCCTCGGCACTGACTGGATAAATGCACGATTTCTGTCCTGTGGAATTTTGCGCCATTCTGCTTGTAACGCGTTGGCCAGTTGTGGGAGTGTCTGCGGCGTGTTCTGACTTTGATGTACACGTCGATCGAGTTCATTCCAGAGATGTGCGATTGGGTTGAGATCTGGAGATCTCGACGGCGAGGGCAAGCCGTTGATGTTGGCATTATGAAGTTTGTCTCCCGTGACGCTGTGTGCGGTGGGGACGTTGTCCTGTTGAACCCGCTCCCTCTCGACGACGATAAACACGTTGTCTTCCCTGCAAAACAGGGACGATAACTGGTCTTCTGGGTCGGATGGTTCCTGACAGTCCTTGAAAACAACAAAATATTTGGTCATTCGTCTGATCAGTTTTTTATCATAACAAGTTCTCCTTAGAAACTTAGATGCTGTTTACACGAAGCTAGGCATGACATGGAAGCAAACGTGCACATATTGCTGTTTCACAGCCTGTTTCGTACGGGTTTGCCTATAATTGGTCTTAACCCAGGAATTGTCAGAGCTTTAATTAATGTGGCATTTTTGCACCATTCCTGTCTGCAGCGTAGACGTTGGTTTTCAGCAATCTGTCGTATGTCGTAAGCGTTATTTACGGTTTAACAAAAGTCCTTTTATGAGCACCTGATAGTTAATCAATCAGTGTGTAATCTCCACATATGTGAGTATCATGCTCCCGACAAACATGCAAACATCCAATATGTGCGTTGTGAATGAACTTGCATGTGTTAATTGTAAAATAACAACCTTAAAGTTGAGGAGATGTCTTCATGAATATGTGCTGAAAGATCCATTATATAATTTCAGAATAAGTGTATTTTTATTGAACGCTGTATGAAGCACAGTTACTTTTTTTCAGTTAGTATATATCAAACAATCAGGGATACTGCAAAGCAGGTCCTGTAACTTAGTGAGACGAAAGTTTGTTTGACAACGCACATTTTTTTACCATGTTGATATATTCAATTAATTAAGACTGCAAAGAACATGGAAAATCTTCTGCTAAACCTGGCCTTGAACCCAGAGAAGCAACAGAGGCTGTATGAAGAAATCCTGGATGTAATTGGACCAAAAGGACACGCGCACACCGCTGACCACATGTCCAATATGCCCTACTTTCGAGCATGTATGAAAGAATCATTCAGGTGCGACTTCATATTTGACGTACACGTAGCCATTATGCTCCATTTGTTGAGTGAAAGACTGAGTATGGTTTTACGCCGCTTTTAGCAATATTCCAGCAATATCACGGCGGGGGACAACAGAAATGGGCTTCACAGATTGTATTCATGCGGGGAATGGACCCAGGCCTTCGGGCCGTGAACCATTAGGCTACCCTATCGCCCCATGCACAAGTTAAGATGAGGCGAAATGCATTGGGTTTAACGTTGCTTTCAAGATTATTGCACATATGTTGAGACGTCCAGGCATGTGTGTGTGTGTGTTTGTTTCTGTGTGTGTGTGTTTGTTTCTCTGTGTGTTGTACGTGTGCATGTGTGGCTCTCTGTACTCATGCCGGTTTTATAATCCTATCTTACATAGGTATCATGTCGCAGTTTAACATGGATGCCTCATTTACTAACTCTGTGCCGAACAGTCCTGGTCCACACGAGACAGGGGAACGCTAGAACCACCGACCAGAATCGTTCTGTTACACAAGGCAATTGCAAAGTTAATAATCTTTTTAGAATTTCTACCAAGATTCAGAGAAATGCTTTCTATTTCCACATTGGGGATGAAGACTATATTTCTCTGTTTTCAAATAGGGTTCTCTTCCCTCTTTCCTTTGGTTCTCTCAGAGTGCTTCAAGAAGATGTTGTACTAGATGGTTACATGGTGCCTAAAGGGGTTTGTACCTTTTGTTTAATACTTACAGGTATATGTGTTTTTGTGTAGAATGGACTACGTTATAAAAATATCCTAACCGAATCACATGTTGAAGACAAGAAGCCTAAGATTGTACGTAGAAACAAACAGTAATGATTGAAAGCGTCTTTAAAGATTTAGTGAATGCACTTACCCACTTATCATGACTGCATTTATCGATGAGACATAAAGGAACAATGGCTGATTCGAAACACTGCATTTAAACATATATTGATGAGTAGTAGTATATCATAGATCAGCCTTTTGTCCCCCCGTTTGGAGTGTTCAAATTTGAGGTTCAGATATTTTCCTAATCAAAATCGAAAGCTTTCGGAAACGTCTTTCCTCCTTTCAAACGGTTATTACGTGATAATTTCTGTGTTACCACTTAGTGAATATTCATGAAATGAACGTGAGTAATTTATGTTCATATGGAAATGCATATGGTCATATCTATTTTTCAGACCCATGCCTTCATGAACAATCGTCGTCTTCTCCTCAACAGCGAGTATTTCGATTCGCCTAAAGAGTTTCTACCTGAGCGTTGGCTGAGAGACGACTCAAGCAACAAGAGAGAAAAGGAATACCCGGCCTTTGCTCTCTTGCCCTTTGGTTTTGGGCACAGGAACTGCCTGGGAAGACGTTTTGCTGAACAGGAGCTCTGGCTTGGTGTCACAAAAGTAAGGTTTTTGTCCTTCAGAACTCAATTTTATGATGCCCCCATTGCAACGATCGGGAGAGGAGGACGATTGTGCCGCAAATATGAGATAGTTATCACAAGGGGGATGAAATCACAACATGCCCCTGATTACCGGCCCCTTTACTGCGTGACAAAATATCACTTCTTGCCTGAGTGTGTTCATCCCTCGCTGGCAGTTTGGGGGGGGGGGGGGGGGGGGGGGGGGGGGGGGGATAAATATAACTGAACTGAACGTCTCAGATACACATTTGGTATTAAAGGATTATATTATTCAACGTTTCGATATGCTTCATTTTAAAAGTGGTTTAGAAAACCAGAAGCATCAGGTGTCTACCAATGTTTCAAACATCCAAATGTCCATGCCTGTTTTTCTCCAAATTGGCAACATGGATGTAAACAAGTCATGTAAGAACACTTGCCTTGCGATTGTAAGGAATCAACCACACAGTGAATGTGTGTAGAATGATAACCTTGTCATTAGAACAATTTATAACTCTACTATGTGTACGAAATGTAAACATTAATAGCCACGTTTAATTTTTAATTTAAAGTGTGTGCATGGGCGGAAAAACTTGTAAACATCACATGAAACTTATGCCCTGCTTATAGCACCCTTGTAATATATCTTGGAATAATTTGACCGTTTATGACGAAACAAACGCCATAAGGTGAGGTAAGTCTGTTAACGGAATGTCGATGCTTACTTTGCATGTGTACTAACCACAGTAACACTATGGCGTGTCTGTCACCGACACACCACATCTTTATATGAAATCGTACTCCCCGAGCTCCGCAATGCTGCAGTGCATCCAACCATACACGCCATCCCAACTCGGGCGCATTCCGGGTCAGTACCCATCCCTCGTCATCACAGCTGATTACAAGTTGGACTCGGTGACCTGGCTGATTGGTGTCATGCACTGAGGATATGTGTCGCTGGCCATGCTCTTTGTCACTGTTCTTCCTGGTCCAACCACGATTAGCTACATTTCGACATGATATAGCTGTAATGTTTAAATGCCATTCACATTTCGTTTCGAAGGTGTAACCAATGAACCTCCTCTCTTTCGTTCATGCATATATTAACTTGCACACTGTAGTTGTAATGCAGGATAGTGGAAGATACATGTACCTCTTTGGTCAATAATTAATACCGTTTTTCACGATCTTTCTTTTTCAGATTATCCAGAACTTCCATGTGTCAGCACCTGATGATGGGGACTTTGAGTTCATGTACACGACATTTGGTCAAATCAAGAATCCCGTTAACTTCAGGTTCGTTCCGCGATAATCATCATACTACAGTACACGTGCTTTCAGTTTGCTGGCACTAGCAGCTCGTTTACTGTAGAAGCATACAGCACCCTATATGTGTTTGGTTCGGACGTGTTGTAGGTGTACAACAAGTGTTCGTTCCAAAGTTGACCTGTTCCGATATCATGAGCATGGTGACACTGACAACTTTAGTGCACATATAAAACTAGTTTTCATATTGAACGTGCGTTTTGAATTGTAATTGTTTAATAGTAATAGGTTACTTTTGTGGTGAAAACAATGTTTGACATAAATCACTTATCTTTCTTCACCTTTACCCATCGATAATCATCAAACTTCTTTGATACCGCAAATAAAGATGTTATCAAATCTGCCTACATTCATAAGGAATTGATGCTTTGAAGAAAAGTTCATTTCTAAATGTATACATTTCCATTTACTTTACAACACCAAAATAGTTTTACAAACTGTGAAGAGTTGAGTTTGAAAGTTAAGTTAATCAGTGTGCTGTCAACATTTAACTTGCGTCCTACACCTTCCTTTTGGCTTTTTGCCAGTAATGGTTTCAAGTGTGACTCGATCTTTCGATGTGATGTACACAACTTCATAGAGTTATGATATGAATGTGATCGACACACACTCTTCGTATTTATCCAAGGAAACTTTCAGAGAATACAAAATCAATATTTGCATACCTACACAATAGATGTACCTGGGGAACGCATTTGAATGCAATGGCCTAACGATCACATCCGAAAGTTGGAGAGATATGACAGTCGGTATTCGGACAAAAGGTGCAGATTGTCGACGTTTAAATTGTGAGAATACCAAACTTAACCTCTCTGTATATAAAATATACATTGCCGAGGTCGGATTGTATTCAGGGAGTCATTATTTTTTTAGATACGGGAAAATGTTTTTGAAGGTTGTACATTTTATTGACATCCTTAAAAAGGCTGTGCAAAATATAGATATCTTATATAAAAAATAAACGACTCGTGGTCTTTGTTTATCGTACAATAGAACACAGGGCCCCTCCCTACAATATGTTATTGTACGACAAACAACAATAACTGAAATGATGTTCTTATTTATCACATTGTGTTTAATTGTGTTGATGGTGGATCCTATAAGCATCCCAAACACATTCTCTGTAGGACAGGACGTGCTTATCCTTGTCGCGAACACCCGGTGTCATCACGTATTTTCAGTGATGCATTGTCATAACTTGTACCACTGTTTTGCCTTTGACGCCCAGTGGGGTTTTTTTCGGCAGATAATCGAGACTGATTGTTTTCTGGCGTTGACGTTCTACGTTAAGATCCCAATGCTGATTAAAATGACATCAAGCTATGCATGTCTCCCTCAACAAGTTGCTTACACAGAGACCGATCAATCCGCAAAGCCATAATACCAATGATGTTACATGTATGTTGTTAATTGTCAGTTTAATGTCAATAATATGACCAATCCTTACTTTTACATTTGAGTCCAGGAAAACCTAACGAGGAACATTTGAAGGAACATATGTTTATTACTTGTACAAACGTGTGTCATGCATTTGATACTGAATATATATGGAATCTGTAGTCAGATTGTTCTTTTGTCAACTCAAATTATATTCTACACTGTTGTGATTCCTATTTGTATATATTTTCAAATAAAGATTGAAAAATGTGCCTAAACAAGATTTTAGTTGTCCTTGTGAGTGAAACACACTTCCATGAGGATCGTATTGTTCATTCAAGATATTGTCAATAATACAGATGTGGAACTGAAAGTACAGGTGTTGAGAAGTACATGTCATAAATAACACTCTGATATTTCATAAATTGCTATGGCAGTATGTGCCATAACTTGACTGAAAGTGACTTCAACACACCTGAGCTTCAGAAACAGCTACTCTGTTCTGATATTTATTGTTGATTTTTATTAATGATCCAGTTACGTTGAAGATGTGTGTATTGTAGTATGTCATCCTCTGATGTACAAATTTGTGTGTAAATGTTGGTTGTTTTACAATAGTGAGTTATGCAATTTGATTAATGTTTGAGAACAATATATACTGACGAGTCATTTGTCAGTCAAGCGCCATATGTACACATGATTTAAATCGGTCATGGGGCACGATCTAAAGCTTCATATATCGATGTTTATATAGACCAGAAGAACCGCTGGTCGTGTTTCGCAGCACATATACAACTGAAAACAAGTGAAAGAACACCAACAATTTGTCGGAACCAAACCAATCTCCGCCGGTCAATTTGGGCTTGCATCACTCATAAACTGACGCACAGTGTTATAACAGAAATACTGTTCACAGTGACATTAAAACCTGACTCACTCCCTTAACACTTCACACTGATGCCTGCAATACCGTGGTCACGTAGGCAGCTCCGTTACCCGAATCCTCACACATGCAAGATTCTGTTTAAAAGGTTAATAGTGCTGAAGTCAGATAATGCACCTACGATTTCGTCAAGGGTAATGACATGATTGAAGCGTCTGTATTTCTAATTCCGGTAGTAGTATATCTTGAGGCTGCTTTTAATGTTTAAACTCCAGGAATACACACTGCTTCCATCCGAACTGGCATTTCCTTTCGTTGCTAGATCCGGCGTGGCATCATGTAGAACGTGCCTGAAAGAATGCGCACTGTGGACATGTTGCATTATTTTAAACCTTACACCGATGTGGAGCTTTTCCATGTGATATTTGTGCCTACCTGGTTAGTTTTAGGGTATTGATCTTAAACGTACAAACAAGCATAAGCCACGAGAATTGTCCATATATCATTTGGGGTTTGAGTCATATGGAGCCATCTATACATTTTAACATGGATACACCATTTGGACACATTATTCTGACTCCTTGCCGACTTGTCCTTATTTTATCTCCTTATTGCCAGACGTCAGGCACTGGGTTAATGACAACAGTACGAAGACACGTAATCTGCCACGTCACAAAGCCTGGCCACCCGATTCAAGCATGTTTTGGACCAAGTATATTCCCTACCACGTGTCACTGTTGTGAGTTGTCCTGCAATAAAAGCACAGAACATTACATAACATCACATGTATAAAATACATTCACGAGGGAACGATGCTATTATAATACATCATAAGCTGATCCTTTTACACAAGGTATTGGAAATGAAGTAATGTGGTTTAGCCTAGACAGCAGTTAATCAACTGGCTTAAGAACTTGCGTCATGCGTCACTGCAGGGTGCTGTAGAATCTCATCCTGACATCTCAGACTCATTTTTGTATGTAATAATTGATTTAGATGTAGCTTGTAAGTACAAAGCCTGATAATTGATTTAGATGTAGCTTGTAAGTACAAAGCCTAATGGTGGAAGCATATTTTTAATTTTTGTAAATTGAAATTTTGGGTGTTTTTTAACTCGTTATTTCAAATATGTTTTTTTTTACATTTCGACTTTTTCTCGTAATTTCAATCATTTTCTTGTAATTTCTATTGTTTTCTCATTATCTTAATTATTTTGTCGCTATCTAAATTTTGTCTCATCTGGAGAAAAAAATCGAAATAACGAGGAAAAAACTGAAAATTCCGGAACATGTTTTGAAATATGCGTTATAACAAGAAAATTCTCGAAGGTAAAAACTGACTGTACTGATTTGTAAATTGATTAGATCACTATAAAAAATATTTTTGTCAGACTTTCAAGATATACGATTTTGTTCACTGAAAGTAAGATTCGAGACATTTATTGCCAATATTTACTGCAACATAATTTTTCAAACAAATTCCACCCACTACCGCTCCCCTCACCCCCACACCTCCTCCACACCCCACCCCCCCCCCCCCCCCCCACCCCCCCCCCCACCCCACACACACACACACACACACAAAAAAAACCTACAACAAAAAACAAACAGAAAACACACACTATTTTCGTACGTGTATTGTGCATCAAATTGTCGAATGGCATACACATGATATGACATCTTGACATCTCTGCGAAACAGTATGTCACTTTTAATGGTGTATTTCGATCACAATTTTTTTTGTCTGTTTTTATATAAGCTGCGAGTTTGATAAGGGAAGATCGTCATGTCACACTGAAGCCGGAATAACATGTACACACACAAAGGCGCAGAGGTCGCGCTAAGGCTAACAGGGAACAAAAACAAAATCTTCAACCCCGTATCTTACTCCCGGGAAGCTCAGCGTCCGATAATCACTGATTGACCACAGCAGAGACAGACGCGGTCAACTACATCGCAGTGGACATACCGACACATTCGACACAGAAACAGGTAGGTCCTTTTAATCTCGAAACTATTCTTTGATATTCACGTTTTGTTTCTGACAATGACACTATATCGATCTGAGAGGGACTGGGTTCTAGTGTGTGACAAGGAGGTGTGTAGTTCCCGTGTGACTGAGGGAAGGCTGTTGTGTGTGACCTAGATTACTCGACAGATCTCGCTGGTACACCACGGCAGTTGCTAAGAATAGAAATAGGAATTACACAATGTAGCCTCGTTTTATAAAAGGACATTATGAAGTGTTATGTTTTGCGCGGAGGCATTCATGTTCACGCAATTACAGTGGCGAGAACTCACTTCCGTCTATGGGCAATTTAATTCCTCATGCGCATGCCCAAGTTGTAAGCACTATCCGTTTCTAGTGACTCTGACAAGTGTGTGTGTGTGTGTGTGTGTGTGTGTGGGGGGGGGGGGGGGGGGGGGGGGGAAATAGGTCACGTTAGATAAGCTTTCAAACTTTGAAGGAAGCAGCATGTTCTGCTTAGATCTACGATGTTGCATTTATTAAAGAATATGTGTACGTATATAAAATACTCTAGCAGTTTTATTATGATACAGTTTAATTGACTGGCGGATGTTAAGCTTTCGAACTTTGAAGGAAGCAGCATGTTCTGCTTAGATCTACGATGTTGCATTTATTAAAGAATATGTGTACGTATATAAAATACTCTAGCAGTTTTATTATGATACAGTTTAATTGACTGGCGGATGTTAAGCTTTCGAACTTTGAAGGAAGCAGCATGTTCTGCTTAGATCTACGATGTTGCATTTATTAAAGAATATGTGTACGTATATAAAATACTTCATGCAGTTTTACTATGATACAATTTAATTGACTGGCGGCTGTCTATAGTGGTTCTGACATTTTGCACTGGAGAATTGCGGGGAGCGGTTACTTTTATGAGAATTCCTGCTCAAATAAATAGAAGCATGAGACGGAAAAGGTGTAGAAAAATAACATATATATAACTATGCATGAATACATATTTTACTTCTATAAATGGTATTTGGTATTTGCAACGACATCAAAACATTTCTTAAAGTTGTATTGAAATCACTGCTCCCTCAAAACAGAGATTCCTTCATCACAACACACACGACCTCCGGGGCATGAAGTGAAATGTGATCTCCTTATTTGCTGCATATACACAGACAAACAGCTAGCTTCTGAAAAGAAAAGTTCAATTATCTTAATAAAATATAATGAAAAGATGCTCAGCAGGGGTGGATTGAGAGGGGGTGCGCATCCCCTTGGCCCCTAAACTGAACTAAATAAATCTGTGAAAGCTGATAAAAGTTTTATTTTGAAAACTTCGTAAATGAGGATAAAAGCAGGAAAACCGACGAACACACAAACACTGGCCGTCATACCAGAACATGCTTTTACTTTCAAGTGTTCTGCACATGTTAAACGTTAGACTAACATTTAGTCTATGCAATCTTATATTACATAAATAAATTCTTTACTTGGCTCTAAAAATAAAATAAGTAATTTAACCAAGCTGTGGAATAGATGAAATAGAGCTAGCTAGACTTGCTTTTGTATACGTTTCTAGATAATTTTGTTTTCATAAAAGAAATATATTCCACAGTCTTGGTGCAGGACTCGTTAACGTGATAATGTATGAATATCAATTTATTAACAAGCGGCATAATGATATTTTGTTTTGCTTTAAATTCTCAGCGTCGCTCTTTGACAGGTCAAATACCTAAACACCCAGAGTCGAGAATTACAGCTACGTCCCATCCCTCTACCTTCTGTTTCATTTTCAAACAAAACCTCAAAATGGGTGTCATGTATTTTTGTAACCTGAATAGTGGAACATGAACGTGTTCTTTGCTGTTAGTATTGTTTCAGACGCGTTATTGTACGGCGGCAGAAGGCACCGATCTATTGTGGTTATTCTGAGATTGTGCACTGAAATTATGGGGAGCAGTTATTTTTATGTGACAAAGGTTTTCCTGCTCGTTTTACTAGATTTGGTTCACTGTCATTCAAAACAAAAATGTGATTAAGAATAAATGCAGATCCGTTTATTTTTAAGTTGTGGTTCATTTATTAATTGTTGATTTAATAAAAGTGTGTGTGTGTGTTATAAAAATGATGTAACTTTAGGATAGTTCTCTTTGTCATTTTGGTTCAAAGCATTATTACATAACAGGAGCCATACTGAACCAAACGTTTATGATAAAGATTTACCTGTGTAATCTCCTTTCTCAGACATTCACAATGTAAGACACTTACTTAGTAAGTAAGTAAATAAGTAAGTAAGTAATCTAGGCTTGCCAGCTACTAGCAACTTGCCTTGGCTGTTATTTATTTATTTCGGGGTTTGTATGATGACTATTTTAAGTACATGCTAGCCGCCGGTATTGCTGCTTTGCAGCGACAAGTTCTTATTTACTTCAGATAGCGGTTAACTATTCAAAGCATAGAATGGGTAAGATACTGTAACAATACACCAGAAGTGACAAACTTATGGCAGCAAGAGCAACACGTATTGGTGATCCTATCGCCACCCCTCTCTTATCTGTGCGTATGGCGCTGCCTAGTCTTTGAAGCATCGCTGTGTCCCCAGTCACTGCCTGTTTTGCCTTCGTGACACAGCGCGTTGAGTGCCTACGCTGTTTAAAACCGACAGAAACCGACGTTATTATGTGTTCATAGTTGGGTCCTATATACAATATAACCTTTCAGCGTAAGAAGGATAATGTTCATGAATACACCCCACACACATACATACACACACCCCATCTTCATTGCTAATTGGGAACCGCGAAAGCTTTCAGTTTGCACATTGATCGGACTGGTGACTCGGACAAACACCAAGGTAAGCAATTCTTAAGTATCTGTGTTGTTCTAATTATGTTTGGCTTATAAATAGTTTCAAACTCATTGAAAATTTCACCAAGGCAACAGTGTGTTTCGGCTTGCAGGTATACAGAGGAACGTTATAGCATTGTTTGCAATAATATTCACCTGAATTTACATGCCAAGCTAATGGGACCCTACTACTTTAAATGACATTGTAATTGACCAAATTGTAGATCATAGCTGTAGCCATCCGCAAGCGCTGCTACTTTCAGAACTGCCCCTCGACTTTGATATATTTGATAACCATGTACTGTCCAATATAGTTTATGAATCCTTCGACATGAGGGCGATGCGGATGTAAATTAAGTCTCTCTATTTCAAGACATCTCAAATGGAATAGGGCTTTCGTGTATTTTCTTGACTACATTCGGACATACCACAGTTGATCAGACCCTAGAACCTCTGCATTATGCATCTTTATGATTCCCATTGTAGTGATGCGCATCAACAATTATGCGATAATGGGGTATGCGTTCTCTTGACCTTTCCTGATATTCAAGCTTTGGTTGTACATACGTATCCGTCAAAACAATTCCAAATATCTGCATTTAATATGTACAAAGTAGTGTCACAAATGAAAATGAACAAATAATCAAAGAACAAACAAAAGCCCAAAGGGAAGAGAATAGTTACCAAACATTCATTTGGTAAGCAACGTTATTGTTTAAGATAGCACACGACCTCGAATGAACCTGAAGAAATCGATCGGATGGTACTTTCATCAGTTTGCAATAACTTTCTGTTTCCTGAAAATGTTCGATGTGCTAAATACCAAACTGAGACAATGGATTTGTTTAATTTGACCATTCATGACACACTATACTGCTTTTGTCAACCAAACAATATGATATGTAAGGAAATTGATGTCATTTCCTTAACACAACTACAAAATGATTTTAAGGGTTTATCTGCCTTAGATGTTGTATAATGCCCCCATTCATTTCGTTTGGTTGTCATCGCATTATAACTCTGCGGTTTTGGTTTGGTTTGGTTAGGACAACTAATTGAGGTTTCAACCTTGCTGATATAGACCTAGATCAGAATAGCCTGTTGGATATTCCTGAGTTAACAGATCAAGTCTTGAGAGTCATCCCATTTAACCTATCAATCACAAAGAATCTCTGCAACCGCCTAAAGTCTAAGTAACTGTGCCACTTTCCTTCTGATATCATTGCAACTAGTTCATCCCTATATGATTTTAGTAAGTTATTTCCATTATCCATTGTTCTCTATTCCAGTAATTCCATATAATTTTAATAAACTTTTTTGTTTTCATTTCTTCTTCACTTGCATTATTTTCCATTTTGGCAATTCTAAGAATGATTCCGGTAGAAAATACCGTACATCCTGGAAAAAACACCTTTCGTTAATAAACACCACCCGAAGTAATAATTGCCTGCCTTACAAAATTCAATTTTTATTACGTTACACTAATAATCATAGATTTTCGTTCTGCAATATATATCCAGCACCACAAATAAGTTTCTTCAGATGGTTCCAAGTAATATTGGTACCATTTCGTGTAAATAATACCAACATGATATCGGCTAACTACAGTTTGAACCAATTCATAGTCTGCATATGCTGCGTTATTTTCATTGGTTTACATTGTCTTTAGTTCTCGACATGCTGAAGTCACGCCTGACGCCACTATCGGCTCTGATGAGAAAACACCTACTTCCTGTGACACAAAACGTATGTCCCAAAGCAACAGCCACCAGTGCCAAGGTTGATGAAACCGACGTCAAATCATTCAAAGATGTACCGGGTCCTGGGGGACTATACGCCATCCCAGTGATTGGTCCAGCATTTCTGATGAAACCCTTCAGTACGTTTATTGAACTTATACACGTATGCAGACCTTGCAGCTTGGATAACTTTTTGTAGACAATCAAACATGGTTGACACAATAACACCGACATTCGTAGCATCAGCTGATCGTTGTTGAGTCGATTCTCAGGTTTGCCTGATATTAATGTTCTTGTTTTGTGGGCGTCACATCAGTGCATGCGTGTCAAGCTGATCAGACAATCTTGTTGAGTGTGCAGAACTGTTAAACCAAGCTCACAGCTTACAGACGTTAATATAATATGTGTCATACCATTTTCATAAATTTTATGTACATCTTGTAACATATGATACAAAGTCAAATACTATACCTCCTTCTGCTGTCGACATAAATGAAATATGGATTTGGTCAAAGAAAGTATATGTACGTCAGCTCTGAAACTGTATTCTACACGTTTCAGCAAACTACACCGGCCACTCATTCCATCTGTTACTCGATTCACTACACGAGAAGTATGGAAAGACTTTTCGTATGCAGCTTCTGGGGGAGTGTCTTGTGACAGAGGACCCGGACGCCATAGCGACCATCCACAGACATGAGGGAAATTATCCAAGAAGGGCAGCTCTGAACCTGTTCGAGGTCTACGCCGAGAAGAACGACAAAGAACGTGGAATGGCAGTTGTGTGGGTACTTATAAATTCATACTTTAGTCTCCTAATCAGTTGGATATAATGTTTTAAAACAAATTCCACAGCAGTATTTGTTTTGTGGGTATACATTCAAGACACTTTGACAGTATGTTTGCTCTGCGACCTGTTATGAGACATTGTGATGTGGTGGTGGGTTACAAACGTCAGTACATCTACAGCAATGTACTAAACCAGATGAGTGAGTAAGTGAGTATGATTTTACACTGCTTTTAGCAATATTCCAGCAATATCACGTCGGGGGACACCAGAAATGGGCTTCACACATTGTACCCATGTGGGGAATCGAACCCAGGTGTTCGGCGTGACGAGCGAATGCTTTAACAACTAGGCTACCAGGCCGCCCCACCAAAACAAATGCAGTGTGTGAACTGCGACATCGTATGCATGTATGTGTACTTGGGGTAGATGTTATCAATGACTGTTAGATGGATATGCATACAACAAATTGTATTAGCATGTAATCGGTTTGGAATGCTTTGAATCAGATCAGCTGAAACTGCTAATTTGCCCCAGTATGTGTTTCCCTAATACCGTACAAGGTGCACTTCTGCTGACAAGTGTCCACGTGTTGCAGACCCAAACCTGTCGACAGTGGCGTAATTGTATCATGCAATTCCAGGGTTCACGGGCACAAACTGATCGAAAAATGAAAATAACATTACCACATATTATACCCAGATGAATGAACAAATAAATATATATATAAAATGTGTGTGTGTGTGTGTGTGTGTGTGTGTGTGTGTGTGTGTTCGCGTGTGCTTTGCATTGTAATAAATGTATTTAGAGCAAAGGTACATTGTAGTTTTATCCGTGTTCTTTCCTATTGAGAAACTAAAGGTTTCTGGATCAGTGTTGGCTATATGTTTGGCAGTCATAGTTCCACGTTAATCACCATGGTAATGCTTTGATACTTGTAGTGTTGGTCTGGTATATATTAAGACATGTTTTCATCATATCGTCAGATTATGAGGACTGAGTTGGGATTAACGCTGCTTTGAAACAGTTTTCACTTCATTACGGCCCAGCTTCTTTATGTGTGAGGAAAACCTAAAGTGGTGCAGGTGTACACTCTAAGCAATCCATACATCACACCAGCTATACGCCTCGATTACTATTTACTATTTCTCGAGCCCGTAATGTGTAAGTATAAAGCGACTTAAGAAGCTTAAACAGACAGTTACAATTTGGAGTTGTGCGTCTCTTTCTTCTGTTTCACATACTGAGTGATAGCATTTTACAAGCGCCTAATAAAAGGAGCAAAGGTTGAATTGAACGATCTTAATTGAAAGCATTTAAACCAGTCGTCGACGGCGCTGCACTTCGCTGATCACAGAGCAGTCGGTCAGATATTAACATTATCCGATGATTGAGCGTTCGACTGCCAGACTCACCCTGGTTATGGTACTTGGTAAAAGTTTACATTCTGTAACTTTTAGGCTTTCTCCCACATTAAGCTGCGACGTCGTGATGTGACTGACTTACTGTTGTAACCGACGTTAACCCAACTCACGTTCTCACATTAAACTGGTGGGATTTCACGAATTTTGTTACTTATTCGCATGATTCCACTGCTGACATGGCCTTAGCATATGAAATAATGTCTGATATTTTTATGTAGGAATGGTCCTGAATGGCATCGCCTGCGCTCTGCCACACAGAAGTACATGTTAAAAACAACATCAGCGTCAATATACATTAACGAACAAGTCGACGTCACCAACGACCTTGTCACCCGGATGTCTACAATGTCGTATACACCAGAGGAATTCAGAAATGAGCTCTTCAGATATGCAACAGAAAGTAGGTCTGATATTTATAGAAAAAAATCTGAATTAAGGTATCTCATTGTAGCTCACCTGGACAAAGTCAATGTGATGATAATAATATGTTGGTTTCGATCGTCGTCTATCCGTCCGTCCGCCTTTTCGCCCATCAATCGACGCGCACTGAATTATATATTTTATCTGTTGTTTAACGCCACACCCAGCAATAGTCCAGCTAAATGACGGCGGTCTGTAAATAATCGAGTCTGGAACAGAAAATTAAGTGATTGACATCATGAGCATCAATCCACGCAAATGGGATACGATGACATGCATCAATCAGTCAGCGAGCCTGACCACCCGATCCCGTTAGTCGCCTTTTACCACAAGCATTGGTTGCTAAAGGCCTATTCTACCCCGGATCTTCACGGGTCTACTGAATAATAAGCTCTTCCCCTCTCAAACTATCCCAAACTATTGATCATAACAACATCATTTCCACAGAACATCTACGTATCTCTGGTTATAACAAATGTTGTGTCTATTGTATTCCGGCAACATTCTATTAAATAATACACGCTTTGCGCCAATCTTATGAGGATAAAGGAAAAGGTAACAACAACCCTGTTTCACTTCCGAACATTATTTTAAGAACCATGAGGTGACCAGTAATACCAGTCAAATCTCTCCTCCTCTTTATACAACTACTCAAATGCCCTGTCGTTGGCTGAGGTAATGCGATATGAACAACAGGGCCTGTGGGCACGTTCGTTACACAAACAAGCTTAACACCTCCCTGTACACAACAGACAAACCGATCTTATGTCATTTGTTACACCATCCATCTTAGCAAGGATTATTGGCCTACCCAACAAGCTACAGACAGTTCCTAATGCCACCACATTATGACACAAAGCTCCCATGTAGTGGTTTAAACATAGATATAAGCATAAGCATAATAGTTGTATTACAATACAATTAGTCATGTAGATATGAGCAGTGTGAAGAAGTATTTCAAATCATCAAACCTTTAGAAACTAATCTATTTTATATGTAACCTAGTTACCTCTTTGAATTGAAAACGTCAACACCATTGAAAAAACAGTATCGAGTAACTGTAAAAAATATTCCATAGGGTATTATATGAATGGATCATTAAATGTATAGAAAGTTTCCTACAGTTCAGTAGTTGTATATATATTCCCAGACCTTAACCTTCGGCAATAACTGAGGTGAATTGTTGACTTATCAGTTGTTTCAGAACATAATATTGGTTACCCAAAGCTCGTCAATGTTAATTACATAAACAGCTGTCCATATACGTTATATCTGACATATGAAACGTGAATGCTGGATGCCAGAATAACAGTTATTCCTGCATGTGTCGAAGGTATTAAGGACTTTGAATTTGAGGAATATGGTGTTGAGAATGTTTCAGAAGACTACTATTTAATCTCATCATGGTTGGTTGGTTGGTTTGTTGTTTAACGCCGCTCTCAGCAATATTCCAGCTATATGACGGCGGTCTGTAAATAATCGAGTCTGGGTCATCATGGATAATGTCACGTGGAGACGGTTATATTTTTTTTATAAATGAAGCTGATTACATTATTAACAAATTAATATTGCAGCCCTATGTCTTTATTCTTTGTGCAGAAATATTAGCAATAATGATGATAAATAACAACAAAACCATATACAAATGGTTAATAAACTTTCTGCTCGCGCAATTTGCAGATAATACTACATTAAGCTTAGATGGATATAAAAAAACCTCTATTCCACAATGAATACATTACAATGTTTGCCAGATTCAGGATTGAAAGTAAATACTGAACAAACTAAGTTGATAAGGATAAGGAAGAGAATTTATGGATGTCTACTTCTTCATTATGAGGAACAAAACTTTTCGGAGTATATACCTACTCCTTCATCAGGTGTGTATCACTTCTAAATGCCATTCAAAGACTTGGGTCAAAAAGATATCAAGATATAAGTTATGTACGGCCTGGGATCTGGACTGGTCACAAACTCAGTTTAGGTTATTAGGAATAGATTTTGATATTGATTGGAAAAGATGATTAGTTAAAACCATTCAAACAAGTTTGATCAGGTAGATAGGGAACCGAAAATGTGGGCAAAGGGAGCCCTGAAGGTTGAAACTAGGTAGAAATGTCATACCAACATCATGGTTGTTACCCAAACGTAACCATCTGTTTTGCAGTATACCTGTCAAGGAGTAAAATTATCAATATCCTGGTATTTACTGAAGAACAATATAAAGCATTGAGCTAAAGTTTGCCAAAGGCCTATACAGGCATATATAGTATAAACATTAGTAGTATATAGTGAGGGCGCAGAAGGTAGTTTTGGTTGAGGGAGGTTGAGTGAAAATAGGGAAGGTGATTGGTTGATCCAAGTCACGTGATCGGATAGGATGACTCATGCATCAACAGCGCGTTACAGGTGAGGGGGGGATTGAAAGGTGTGTGTGTTTATAAGACATAAAAGAATTCGTAAGTAAACAAAAAGTAAAGGGTATTCAATAGAGCTATGCGTATGGCGTGCTGTCCTGAATAGACAAGCAGCCCAGTTTGAATCGAGCGCGCTGGACAACTCACGTGACCACGTCGTTTCAAATTGTTTAATGGTCGTAATGGTTTCGTTAATTTCAGGCGTTAGTAGAAATTACAATTAGTGTACAACTCACGTAGTCGTTTCAAATTGACCGCGCTCGCTAGAGCGTGCGACCTTGTTTTGATGAATGCAGGGTGTGTGTTGAAAGTACAAGTACCACCATAGAGATGGGTTATGTCAACACGATATACGCCGGGTAATGTAGGTGGGAAAAAAAAAAAAAAAAAAAAAAATGTACGTCTAGCTGGATCAGATCCATCTTATACGGTCTACACGTTGTACATCACGAACGTTAGACAACCTGTTTGAAAAAATACATAGAGATAAAATGGATAAGACTTCACAATCAGCAAGCTAGCAGTGTCGTTTAATTACATTTAGCGCGCAAGAACGAGGTCGTGACGTCACCCTGCATTGACTATAACGCTGAAGGCAGACGGATTTCGAAACACCCCGCGCTGCGTACTATTGTGAACCATTTGTATAGAGGGCGTTCACTTATTCAGCCCTATCCCGACTAGCATAGTTGATGTTTCAATGCTAGCGTTTCCATTTAACGCGATGACAAATAAACCGTACGGTTTGAGTTTTAACCGTGTATCATGATGTGCACAGTTTTACTTCAGAACGTGCTATTTTGACAATAGATAGTTAGAACCATGTCTATGTTCAATAGAAAACTGATGAGTACATGTAGCAGTGTGACGGCACGAAGCTAGGTTTGTTGGGAAAGTGATGGAAGCCATCTATAGGACATTTTCATGTTTACAATACTCACCCTTAATTCGAAGAGAGAACAGAGTTTATCATGGAAAATTGTTTGACGAGGAAAATGTTTTATTGGAAATATATGTCGAAGTAGGTTTATTCATAGCTAATGTATAGCAGAGAGACTAAGCGACCGACCGCCCATAACAATGTCAACATACCCCGGCCTTACAATTAATGTCAACATACCAGCCTCGCCTGAAGCTTCCCATTCATAAATGGTATGATCAGTGTCCCGTATTTATGATATGTCAGGGAAGATGTGTTGTACATTTGTTATTTTAAAAGGGAGTTATTTCAGAGAGGATATATATGGGTATTCCCCCTCATTAAACCTTTCTTTCGTTGGTGTCTATTAAACGTATCCGGTATTTAATACATTTGAATGATGTAGGAATGTATGTGCGTGTAGATGTTGTACCAATATCCGACCACGAATGTATGACACCTTTCTATAGATCAATTACGGTTCTAACCACGACACGCAACATGACTATGAGCGTGGTTAGCAGTTCATATTTATAAACACATCGTAAATGACAGATTTCTGATGAATGAACTCGCCCGCACACATGTCTATAGGGTTATGTTCGCCCGAACTGTAAACAGTGACACATTGATAACAGGAAGGGTGTGTGGAATGCACTCGTCCTTGTAAGGGTAAAATACGCGTTTAAACTCACCATTTAAATGATGATGACATTACTTTTTAGATGTATTGGTATCAGTGAGTGAGTGAATTTAGTTTTACGCCACACTCGGCATTATTCCAGCTCTAGGACGGTGGTCTGTCAATAAACGAGCTTGGACCAGACAATCAAGTGATCAACAGCATGAGCAGCGATCTGTGCAACTAGGAACCGATGGCACGTGTCATCCGAGTCGGCGAGACTGACCAACCCAGGACCTTCACGGGTGTAGTATGACGAAGACTATATACTAATATGATCGCTTTTTTAACATACTCACAAGTGTGCTGTGAAGAAAAGAGTGTCTTCCAAGAATCCCTGCACGTGTAAGACAGTATAAACTCTACAGTAGTGTAGCCCGACAAACAGTTTTACTCTCGCCAGCAAACGGATTGGACGTGAACAACATGAAGAAAGCATCAGAGATTAGACTTGACCCTAGAGATATATTTAGGAAGACTACGTTGAGAAAATCACAACAGAGAAAGAAACCACAAGCAGCCAAGAAGTCGACGCTGAAGATAAAGAAGAGACAGGTAACACCTAAAATGAAAACGATGACAACCAAACAGGGATCGAAGACAACACCCCAACCCGTAAAAATACAACATGTGTCGGAGGTGAAGGCTGTGGTGGAACGGGCACTTGCTGCCTTGAAGCGTCAACAGAGGAGTCAAGGGTATAAAAGAAAGCTTCATACCCTCTAATCGCACACCGTATTGGATCACCATGGGGGTTGCCACCTGTCCGGACTGTGAAAAAATGTTTTCAAGGAGAGATGTCATGTTACGACACAGGAGAAATAAACATAGCATACCGCCGCCGCCGTTACAAGCCCACCCGCCGCCGCAAGTCCATTGGCCATTACAAGCCCACCCGCTAACGCCGCCGCCGCAAGCCCATCCGCTACCGCCGCCGTCGCCGCAAACCCACCCGCCATTACAAGCCCACCCGCCATTACAAGCCCACCCGCCAACGCCGCCGCCGCCGCAAGTCCACCCACCGCCGCCGCTGCGTCAAGCCAACCCGCCGTTACAAGCACATCCGCCGCCGCCGCCGCCGCCATCGCAAGTCCACTCGTGGATGCCTCATTTACCATGTATATCTGATCTTCGAGAACAATTCAAGTTCCTGATTCCCTCAAATGCGCTCGTTGTGGGACCCAGTGGTTGTGGAAAGTCTGTGTTTACCTCTCATGTACTCCGGCATGGCTGATCCAACCCCAACCTACCCGCATCGTTTGGTGTTATACTCAATGGCAGCCATTATATCAGGACCTCGGTGAGCAGCTGCCTCAGCTGACCTTTGTCAAAGGAATTCCCTACGATATCTTGGACGAGGATTACTTTGATGCTCGTCAACAGAACGTGTTGGTCCTGGATGATTTCCTGGCCGAAGCAAAGCACGACAAGCGTATTTCGCGGCTGTTTACTCAAACCTCACATCACAAGAATGTATTGATCTTTCTCTTGATACAAAATCTGTTTCCGAGAGGTAAGGAATCGAGAGACATTGCTTTGAACGCGCATTATGTCACCCTGTTTCATTCCCCCATAGATAAACAGCAAATCAAACTCTTCGCTCGTAGAATTTTCCCCGAACATATGGATCACTTTATGGCTATGTATGAAAAGGTTGCTGAAACACCCTATGGACAACTCACCATCGATCTAAAACCTACCACCAAAGATAAGGATCGACTGCATGTTAACCTCATAAATGAGGAAAACAGGAGAACAACAGCACAGTCTGAACCTGATCTGCGTAGGGAGAAGTTGACTACAACAGAATCTCTGGATCGTCCTCTGACACAAGAAGAGAGATTGCCCCAACATCAGCTCACTCCAATTGAAACCGATTCAGACACGAGTAGTGAGACATCATTGACTATGGCCACGGCTTGCGCAGATTGCGGGGTGCTGATAGATAACATGCACGATCTACAGCGACATATCAAACACTGGTGTCCGGCCAATAGCCTTCAACCTAAGAGAAAGCGTGCCAGACTCGAGAGTGATGACGATGACAGTGACTTTGACGACCTAGCCTCTTCCCAGAAAGGCAGTGGTCTTGCCGTCAAACCTCCACGTGGGAAGTCAGCATTCACTAATATGGAAGCCGAGGAGTGGCAAAATGTAGGCTTACAACGCATCTGGAAGCAGGTGTACGATACGTTTCATGACAAGATGAAACTGCAGAAAAAACAGTACGAGCGACAGGGACGAACGCAAGAATGGATTGAGAGAAGATTGAAACTGAGGTGGGAGGATCTAGTGCGTAGTACTCTCAACTATGCGATGGAATATACCACGTACTTTAAAGAGGCACCTCTGTTTCAAAACATGCTATACAACCTGGGAGACATGAATCCTTCCACGGAACAATCCGTTCTCAAAAATAAAATCAAACTCCTCCTAAAACCCAAGATGAAAGAGATCCTGCCTTTGATGGATATGCCGGAAATAGAAAGTGATACTGAATCTGATAGCGTTGCAGAGGATAACGACGGTGATGACGAGGAAGAGGATGATGATCGTGAGCAGAACGATTAGGCATAAATACCAATCACTACTATATCAGTCTAACAGTCAGAAGAGAATGCCGAGTCAACGCCACGTGTCTAGTTTGATTCATATTTTGAAAACACCTTGTAAACTGAGGCGTTTGAACGATAAGAAACGCCGAATTTCCCTCTACGTGAGAGGAATGGTGAAACTGGGACCTCCTGGACGGAAATCGTTACAAGCAATGGATAAAGCATAGACTATAGACAACCATTCAACCTTAAAACAGCGTAGAAAAGGAAACATTCAACAGTGCGAAATGTGTTTCAAAACATGGACTCGCTGTTTAAACAATAGGGCCTTCGAGCAGCAGCAGCAGCATGTGTATATGAGTGACTAAATAATGTTCCAGAGTGAATACTATTGTCCATTCGTATATCACGGCTTTGTATGGAACCGATTGACTCGAATCAATAAATGCTACGAATGAATTGTTTGTTTTTTCTCAGTTTTTTTGCATATGAGTATATAGTCTTCGTCATACTACACCCGTGAAGGTCCCGGGTTATAAAAATCGACCTTCAGTAACCCATGCTTATCGGCGACTGACGGGGATCGGTTGGTCCGACTCGGATGGCACGTGCCGTCGGTTCCTAGTTGCACAGATCGCTGCTCATGCTGTTGATCACTGGATTGTCTGGTCCAAGCTCGTTTATTGACAGACCACCGTCCTAGAGCTGGAATAAAGCCGAGTGGGGCGTAAAACTAAATTCACTCACTCACTGATACCAATTATACATCTAAAAAGTAATGTCATCATCATTTAAATGGTGAGTTTAAACGCGTATTTTACCCTTACAAGGACGAGTGCATTCCACACACCCTTCCTGTTATCAATGTGTCACTGTTTACAGTTCGGGCGAACATAACCCTATAGACATGTGTGCGGGCGAGTTCATTCATCAGAAATCTGTCATTTACGATGTGTTTATAAATATGAACTGCTAACCACGCTCATAGTCATGTTGCGTGTCGTGGTTAGAACCGTAATTGATCTATAGAAAGGTGTCATACATTCGTGGTCGGATATTGGTACAACATCTACACGCACATACATTCCTACATCATTCAAATGTATTAAATACCGGATACGTTTAATAGACACCAACGAAAGAAAGGTTTAATGAGGGGGAATACCCATATATATCCTCTCTGAAATAACTCCCTTTTAAAATAACAAATGTACAACACATCTTCCCTGACATATCATAAATACGGGACACTGATCACACCATTTATGAATGGGAAGCTTCAGGCGAGGCTGGTATGTTGACATTAATTGTAAGGCCGGGGTATGTTGACATTGTTATGGGCGGTCGGTGGCTTAGTCTCTCTGCTATACATTAGCTATGAATAAACCTACTTCGACATATATTTCCAATAAAACATTTTCCTCGTCAAACAATTTTCCATGATAAACTCTGTTCTCTCTTCGAATTAAGGGTGAGTATTGTAAACATGAAAATGTCCTATAGATGGCTTCCATCACTTTCCCAACAAACCTAGCTTCGTGCCGTCACACTGCTACATGTACTCATCGGTTTTCTATTGAACATAGACATGGTTCTAACTATCTATTGTCAAAATAGCACGTTCTGAAGTAAAACTGTGCACATCATGATACACGGTTAAAACTCAAACCGTAGGGTTTATTTGTCATCGTCTCTATTGCGGTATGGTTGTACTTTCAAGACACACCCTGCATTCATCAAAACCAGATCGCACGCTCTCGCGAGCGCGGTCAATTTGAAACGACTACGTGAGTTGTAGACTAATTGTAATTTCTACTAACGCCTGAAATAAACGAAACCATTACGACCATTAAACAATTTGAAACGACGTGGTCACGTGAGTTGTCAAGCGCGCTCGATTCAAACTGGGCTGCTTGTCTATTCAGGACAGCACGCCATACGCATAGCTCTATTGAATACCCTTTACTTTTTTTTGTTTACTTACGAATTCTTTTATGTCTTATAAACACACACACCTTTCATTCCCTCCCCTCACCTGTAACGCGCTGTTGATGCATGAGTCATCCTATCCGATCACGTGACTTGGATCAACCAATCACCTTCCCTATTTTCACTCAACCTCCCTCAACCAAAACTACCTTCTGCGCCCTCACTATATACTACTAACATTATACAATGTATTTTATGAATCCCTATTTTAGTTTGCTAAAAATATTCATTTGTCCTTTTACTTTTAAAGGTATAGGAGTTGTTGCTTTCAACAAACGGCTTGGTTTCCTGGATCCAAAAGGAACAGGCGTGTCACCCGCGAACCAGGTCTATCTTAATGCAATAAAATCCTTCTTTGCGTTGCTCTTTGAAGACGTGGGACCCCCAGTGTACAAATTCTTTCCCACAAAACTGTACAAAGAGTTTGAAAAGGTTGCAAATGAAGCATACGGGTAGGACAATAATGTATTTATTACTCTAATTTCAAATCTTTCATTTATACCACAGGGTATCAGATCTATGTGCCAGGAAAGCGAAATGTGAAGAGCACTCTAGACGTTTTTCACCTAACCACTTGGGTGTGGTGGTGACAGATCCAGCAAGGATAACAGTCATGCAGAACCTTGGATTCGAACCCACAATAACATAATCATGACACTCCCAGTTGTGCTTTCTTTGACCACTCGTCCACCTGTGCCCTCAGAATTGTTTAAAGATAAATCCTATACTAAAGTAAAACTAAAACTGTACCCTTATCGTAACGTAAAACATTCTTAGAACATATAAGGCTTAAGAATGTTGAAGTGTGTGTCACTGAGTTAATATTTAAGGCCACATCGGCAATACGTTAGCCATATAGCGTCAGTATTGTAAACGTCACAGTTGAGCAAGGGTCACTCTTAACGTTTAACGAACAACACTGATTACAAAGTTTGAGTACAGTTGTGTCATGTGATTACAGGTATGGTCGTGTTCAGATAAGAGAACTTCTTGAAAAGGTTGACCGTCAGATGAAAGGCGGAACTTTTGACCCTGAAGAACCAAACCTGATTCTGCAACTGCAGTCCCAAGATGACAGACAAGAGTGTGGATGCCATTCTGTTAGATTTGCTGACGGCAGGAACAGACTCGGTAAGTTACGTACATGTATTTTGGTTGTTCGTCGGTAACCCTGAGCAGAAAACCTTTTCTTTTTCTTCGACTGATTTCTTTTCACTTGTATATTATTTTGATACCGAGCGCTCTGACCTGTAGTTGGGAATATATTCTCAACAGATGTACCGAACAGTTGGTATTATATACATGTCATAACCTCAGATTGGTGTCCAAAGCTTTCTTCGCATACTCGGCACACAAATATAACTAATCTCGGTCAGCACTGTGTTTTTACACAATATTTTAGCAGTATCACGGACCCGTGAAGATCCGGGGTAGAATAGGTCTTCAGCAACCAATGCTTGCCGTAAAAGGCGACTATGCTTGTCGTAAGAGGCGAATAACGGGATCGGGTGGTAAGGCTCGCTGACTTGGTTGATGCATGTCATCGATCCCAATTGCTTGAATCGATGCTCTTGATATTAATTACTGGATTGTCTGGTCCAGACTCGAATATTTACAGACCGCCGTCATTTAGCTGGAATATTTCTGAGTGCGGCGGTAAACAACAAACCAACCAATCAACCAACGTAAGAGGCGACTAATGGGAGGGGGTGGCCAGGCTCGCCAACTTGAGTAATGCATGTCAGCGTAAGTTTAGGTTTTAAAGTCCTAGCAGTTGGACATACTAATGCATATTGGTACCCGTGATATCGTTTAATGATATCAATACAGTGACGGGATCGAGTTGTCAGACTGGGTGTGTTGGTTGATGCATGTTATCGTATCCCAAATGCGTGAGTCGGACCGCCGTCATGTAGCTGGACTATAGCCATCGGTGAACGACATGCAGTCACCGACCCTGACTGCATTACCACATTTAGCCGTCTGTTGCGACATGTTATAAAACGTTTGGGATATACTCTGTCCCATGTCCGTATGGGCTAAGGGATCATTGATAGGACCTGTTTCAATCACTATAGAAAATGAAAATTAGTAAGACAAATGAAGCTTCGACTTTTACTGATGTGAGCACCCCTGTTGCAATCGATATGATGAAAGACAAGTTAGCCCAATGACGCTTTGCTATATGCATTGGCGGATCCACTGGTTTCGATCACCGTATGACAGGGGGATAGTGGGTCTACGTTTTCGAAAATGATTATTAGCACTAAACCATCCTTAGAGGATGTGCACATCACACTGAACATTCCACACTACTTACATTTCCTATTCTCAACCCGGATCTTCACGGGTTTCCTCTTTCACGCCAAGCATTTACGTAATTTCAGACATCCAATAACATTCTCTTAAAGGTAACCGCTATGCTCACGAACGTGTGTTGTGCGCTGGGCTGAAGTTTGTGTGATGCTGTCCGAGATATGCCATTAATTTAGACAGTGAAAAACAAAGGAATAAACGGTATGAAGATATAACGAGTGCCCTGTTTCCCCACAATAATCTTTTTTTTCCAGTTGTCTGTATGCATGCTTATCCCTTGACCTTATGATGCCCAGACACAAGAGTGTCAACAATAATGGGCACTTATATACAACCCTAAAATGTTAAAGGTTAAATGCTTAAGAGATTCGACCTTCAGGCAGTATGGCATATATTTGTGACCTTACAGTCAGATCACAATCACACATTATATCGCAATGTAGACAATTAAACGAGGCATGAAACTGGCGTAAACGTATGCCCCTTGCATCTTGAGACACGTGCATGCATTATATAAATGCAATAATCTTGAATACGTTGACCAATTCTTAACTTGTAAGTCACCCACTCACTCAACATGTGAAAGGGATGATGGAATAGCTTAGTGGTTAAAGTACTTGTCACGCCGAAGGTCAATTCAACTCATGTGTTCATGTGTGAAGTCCAGCTTTGGTGAGAGAGAGAAGTTGGATAATAATGTGCAATATTCGCTTCCTGTAATTATCAGGTGGCTTTTTCTTGCATTAGTCCCTGTATTTTCTGACCGTTCTGTTCAATTTAGACTGCGAAGAATATGGAGATTCTGCTACTCAATCTCGCATTGAATCAGGACAAGCAGCAGAGGTTGTATGAAGAAATTGTTGATGTCATTGGACCCGCGGGACACGAGCTAACTGCTGCACACATGTCCAACATGCCGTACTTCCGCGCATGTATGAAGGAATCTTTCAGGTATTATTTTTGTATGTTAATAAAAAGTACGTATTTTATGATAATACGAATCAATACGAATCATAAGTCTATTAATTTATTTTAAAATCATATATCAAATTGTTCTATCCATAATATTCCTGTAATGAAACTCGGATGAAGACAATGGCCATTCTGATGATGAAGATGAATCTGCATTTGTTCATCATCAGACTAAACTTTCCTGTTACCTTTGGGGCTCTGAGAATACTTCCAGAAGATGCTGTCATTGATGGTTACTTGGTGCCAAAAGGGGTAAAGTATATCTTTGGTCTATATTAATATCTAATGATATATGAATAGCTGTTGAGTTATGGTCTTTATAAATCAGGTTTGACGTCCTTAACCAAACTGAATGTACTTAATGAAATAGCATGTGTACATCGGTACCTACTGAGGCCAATTCGGCACTACGGGCACCTGTTACCCCGTATGAGACCTTACGTACAAAATAACATAATTATAAGCCAGAAATGATACTGTTATTTCCACAAATGTCAATGATATATTAGTAACTCTGTCTTATGAAACGTGCCTAGAAATGAACGTTTCGTCGAGTACGTTCACAACACATTGTCAAAACATAAGTGATGATGATTAAATAATGGCATTGCCAATTTATTGTTTCACTTTCGCCAACATGTACTGCCCGTCATTCCGATACCTGGAGTAATGTAAATAAGCACCCATTATGACGGGCTGTGTTGGGATGGGGGTGGAAGAGGGATCCGGTGGGTAAGCCAGGGACTAAGTGGATTTTGATAGTTGAGGTACAGGACTCAGCAGGAAACCATGTTCTTAGATTAAGATCAGCTTCAATGCTACTTCAACCGATGCCTGCACATGAAACACATCCGTGGGAGTATCCGTGGGATAGCTCGGGGAAAGGACAGTACTATGTCAACAGGAGAGTTACATATCAATCATAATTCCGGCAATGATGAGATGAAACAATAAATAATTAGCATCTTTATGTACAAATCTGTAGTTTCTGATTATGATCAGGGATGTTGCAACTTCATATTGGGCTGCAGAGTATTCCTGCTCTTCGTCTATGATGATATGTGTTTCAGACCTGTGCTTTCATGAACAATCGGCGTCTTCTCCTCAACAGCGAGTATTTCGATTCGCCTAAAGAGTTTCTACCTGAGCGTTGGCTGAGAGACGACTCAAGCAATAAGAGAGAAAAGGAATACCCAGCCTTTGCTCTCTTGCCCTTCGGTTTTGGGCTCAGGAACTGCCTGGGACGACGTTTTGCTGAACAGGAGCTCTGGCTTGGTGTCACAAAAGTACAGTTGTGTTTTAGATTGATTGTTTGTTTGTTTGTTGTTTAACGCCGTACCCAGCAATATTTCAGCTCTTTGTTGGCGGTCTGTAAATAATCAAGTCTGGGCCAGGCAATCCAGTGATTGACATCATTTGCATCGATCCACGCAATTGGGGTACGATGACATGTATCAACCAAGTCAGCGAGCCTGACCACCTGATCCCGTCACTGTATTGATATCATTAAACGACATCACGTGTATCAATAAACATATGCATTTCTAACTGCAATACTTTAAAACTTAAACTTATGATGACATGCATCAATCAAGTCAGCGAGACAAAATCTGAAACAGTAATTTCGGCCATTACTCCTGATTCTTTTAGCGAATACGTAACTATGAGTGATGTTATCTGAGGAGAGTTATCAATTAGTAGTAGTACTAGTAGTAGTAATCGTTTTAATCTCTCATTTCAGATAATCCAGCACTTCCATGTAGCAGAACCTGAGGCGAAAAGGGATTACGAGATGATTTACACGACATTTGGTCAAGTCAAGACACCACCTAAATTTATTTTTACCCCAAGATAAAGGGGGTAAATTTGTGTGGAATCCTTCTCTTGAACCTTTATCTAATTTAGTACCTGACATTTCAGGAGCACAAACTTAATTATAGTAGCTGTTCTCAACTATCAACTATTTTTTTATACTATCATTCTATCAATTTGTTGAGAAACGTGAAAGCCTGTTTAGGCTCGAGCAACGCCCAACCCCCTCGTGAACAACACTGAACAGGCAGTGTTGTGACTGTGACTGGTTTCTGGGTAGCCCAGCGATATGTATCCGTAAGAATGCTAATGGTTAGCGCCATTTAGCTGCAAAAAGTATCCGTTGGACGTGGTTTTGAATTCCAGATTCCTGGTCTGACTGACATACTCCGAAAGTGGCGTGAATTCAGTTCACTCACTCACCATTATATACATGGATATCTGTATGCATATACATTTACTTATCACATGACCGTATAATGAAACATGTCTACTATGTTTGCACTGTGTAAATAATAAATGTTTCCGAGTGAGGTATTCAATTATCAGTAATGGCATAAATCCACCTTATGTTGAGCTTATGACAGAGGTGTTGCATATTTGTATTTAAAGCTTCTGAAAGAACAATCACGTTTAAGCATTCTTCAAAGTCAGATCACACAGTTCATTATGTCACGAATTCTAAGATGAAACAATTAATCACTTGTTCAACAGGTATTTGTTTTCTTTTTTTCCCTTTCCAATTCCAAAAATACAATGTTTGCCGCGAAATCAGGATAAGAGGTATGTACATTTATTAACTTACTCGTCCTTTGTTTGGGCATATAAGATCCATAGTCCAAGTGCTTCAATGTACATATATTAGTAACCTAATCAAATGGCACTATCTGAGTCTAGTTTATTTTTAGTCTCCGCAATTTGTAGATATGTCTTCGATTATGTAAACTTGTTAAGCCCAAACATTTAGATCATCAAAAACGCATTTGTCGAGCACAATCAGCTTTTATGTTTTTGCAATTGAATTATTCGCATTTGCAATTTTGCATCCCTTACGGGCTCCATCAATTCGACACGTCGTGAAAAACTGAAATACTCTTCAAACCAACGTTTGACCTCACTCAGCTTGCTCACACTGTCACCATGCTTGCAACCATTTTCAGTGCAGACTTTATTCACATCAGTATTGTTGAAGTTGTGGTAACGCCACGTGTCTTATTTACATAACAGTAAAAAGTCTCCATACATTTTTTTTCTCAATCCCAAATTTGAAACGCGTGACATTAGGATTGGGGAAATGGATATCACGTTAACTAAATATTAAGTTGAACAATAAATATCAGAACAACTTCGATTTAGTTGAGAGTCTTTAGTTTTCCCAGAATTTGACGTCGTTTTCCGGAAGTCAGATCAAGGAAACAAGTACTGTCGGAAATTTATTCTAAGTCCAATGATGGCAGTCTGAAACGGACTATAGAAATATGCGCACGGGACTCCGTTATAACGATAATAATGTAGTCTTCATAAAACATGTGATCCACACACAAAAATCGTTTGGAGAAAATTCCAGATGAGCATCTTCTAAAATGATACTACTCCCACGATGCATGTTACTTTACACTTGCATAGCCATAACCATGGTGCACGACATGGAGTCTGTATTAAGAAATGTATGCAAGTTCCTTACACTTCAGAGAGATAGAGGGAAACCATATATTAATTTAGACAGGGTGAATTACCGAACTGCTCAAGCTATTGGGTTTTCAATCACAGCAAAAAAAATGCAGTTTCCGGTATCCGGATACCTGCCGGATACCACCGGACACTTACCCAAAACGCGTCCGGGTATCCGGTGGCAGATACCTTGCCGGATACCAGATCCGTGGTATCCGGCATGGACACCTCACCTGAAAGTATGCCACCTGGAATCCGGGTATCCGGCACCGGATACCTCACCGGATACCTCAATCTGGGTGTCCAAGGATCCGGCACCGGATACCTCATTCTGAGTTTCCAAAAACATGTCACAATTTGGGGGTGCATTTTGTTCAATTAAGTGTGAAACACCTAAATATATATTGGAAACTAACCATGAAAATTGAACATTGCTGAAGGTATCCGGCAGGTATCCGGCAGGTATCCGGATGCAATTTTTCGAGAAGTCTTATTTCTGGTAAATATGTACTTTTGGAAAAGACAATTTTTTTCAATTTCATCTATAATTCTTTTTAGATGTTAAGCTGTTTAATGAACAAACATCAGTTCTAATACATGTATGATGATATCCTTAAATTTCATGTTCAGACTTCCAGATTATTCTGAGTGAAAGTATAAACTCATCGACTGTGTGCTCACTTGGGCCTTTGGTCCTAGTGAGATGATAATTTGATTATTTGTAAAGGTACAAGTACTTGTTATGAGCATACCAGCTTCATTTAAGTTTGAAACACAATATGCCTCACTCTGAGGGTGACATGTACCAGATTTCATCACACTACAGAGGGCTGTTCCTCAGTTACTGTGAACATTTTTACTGAAAGACATTGAAAGCTAATTTGACCTTCAATATCAGTTGCGACTATTTCAAAAACAATTGTAAAGTGCTTCATTCAGTGTAATATTGACAAACATATGACAATAATATACAACTATATGTATAAGAGTTATTTAGACTTCTGCAGGAAAAGGCACATTAGAGAACAAGAGTCATCAGAAAGATGACATATCCCCCCGGCAGCTGTCTGTAAAGTAACCACTAGTAAATGTGCAATTATGTATGTAATGAGTCAACAGTTGAATGTTCTTTAAGAAGCATACATTGTTTACCCACAAAAGATCCACCATGGTCGCATCCATATGAATGCCAAGTTTCGATCAAATACATTGAATGTTTTTCGAATTCTGCCCCAGAAATGAACCTCATCCCCAATTGAGTCTATGTCCAACTTCATTCCATAAAAAAAATAAAAAATAAAAATTAGAAAAATCCCAAAATATCAAAAGGCACCACTTCAGTATGTGCCTGATACCTTTGGCAAGTTTCGATCAAATACACTGAATGGTTTTCGAATTCTGCCCCGGCAACGAACCCCATCCCCAATTGAGTCTAAGTCCAACTTCATTCCATAAAAAAAATAAAGAATAAAAATTAGAAAAATCCCAAAATATCAAAAGGCACCACTTCAGTTTGTGCCTGATACCTTTGGCAAGTTTCGATCAAATACACTGAATAGTTTTCAAATTCTGCCCCGGAAACGAACCCCATCCTCAATTGAGTCTATGTCCAACTTCATTCCATAAAAATTAAAAAAAATTAAACTTAGAAAAATCACAAAATATCAAAAGGCACCACTTCAGTATGTGCCTGATAAGAGTTGCCAAGTTTCGATCAAATACACTGAATGGTTTGGGAATCCTGCCCCGGAAAAGGAAATGATTACGGA